TTCCTGGCAATTGAGGGGAAAAATAAACAGCTGGGGTGAGAAAAAGAGCCTGCAAAGAGCCCCGCAGGAGCCCTCTGGAGCTTGCGCTCGCCCGAAATCCCAGGCCTGCAGTGCCACCTAACGAGCAGCCGCTGGGGCGGGGAGAGCGGGCAGCAGAGCCCCAGCGAGCGAGATAGGGAGGTGCCAAGGGGCCTCCCCGGACTGCATCCAGGTTTCTGCCTCTGCTGATGTAAGGAGGCACCGCAAATCAGCGAGCCACCACCCGGGCAGGGAGCAGGCAGAAAATGTGCCACAGCTCAGTCCTCCTGGAGCTTAGAGCTCAGCCTGGGCACCCAGGCCGGGATGGAAGCCTAACGCACGATTATTTGCTGAAAAGAAGAAAGCGGGCATGGTGGTTCTGGCTGTGCAGCACCCTGCATGCAGAAAGCCCTCTGAAAAAGAGAAATTTCCAGGGCTGGATGCCCCACAGGCAGGAGGGGACAGAGCACAGGTGGACTGCAGGAACAACGCTGCCACGAGAGGCTCGTAGCAAGGGCAGGAATCTTCCAGAGTGAGTAGCTGGAGCAGTTTCTGTAAGTGTGTGGGAGCCAAGGCTCTTCCAAGACATACTTACAGCCATAGTTGGGCAGGCTTGCATTAAAACAGCAAATTTCAAGCGTATTGAAACAACAAAACTAAAATCCATCGAAACCACAAATATATGTGTGTATATAAAACACACACGCGCGAACAAAAACAAAACAAAACAAAAAAAAAAGAACCACAAAAGCGCTTCTTTTGCCTTTCCCACCCACACTTCAGTTCTAGGCTTCGGAGTGCTGAAAAAAATCCTACAGCAGCTTCCTGAAAAGGAAGCTATAAAAACAGTGTACTTTGTGTACCAAAGCAGCGTGCTTCGGCCCTGCTGTGACACAGAAATATGCAGCATCTGAAGTGGCCCCGAGAGAAGGAACACCGTTCTCTAGCTAAGTATTTATCTTGGAAAGCAGAGACCAGCCTTGCAGCACCTTCACAAGGACCCATTTACGTATTTCGGATGAATCTGGCACTGGAGAACATGTATGCACAGCCAGGGATCGGTGTCGGGGCCAGGGCACAGATCTCTTGCCCAGGAAAAGAGCTGTCAGGTTGGGCTGTGCCACACGGCCGCCTGCTCCCTGGGAGCTCTGAAGTTGTCTTGCGCCAAGCGGGACAGCTTCAGGGGGTGGATGTGTGCCCCCTGACTCCCCAGAGAGACAATAACTTGGCATTTGGGGTGGTGTCCCCAAAGATGGGATCCCAAAGACAGAAGTGGGATGGGACCTTGATCACTAGCACCGCTGGAGGTGTGCTGTACCTGCCAAGCTATCGTTTAAGAGGTAAGAAAAGTCATCTTTCAGCGACAATTTCAAAGAAAAATAGCTGCTACTGTCGGCACTGATCCTGTTGTAGGAACTAGCTGAGCATTTTGAGGAAGATTGGGAAGAAAACCTAAAGGACGGTTCCATGTCACTCCCGGCTGTCAGACAAGGTGCAGGAAAGCTGCCCCCCAAGGTGAGGTGACACTAAGGGACAAGTGCCAGCCGTGTGGTGTCCAGAGGCTCACTCTGGGGTTCAGCGCTTGCCATCCCATTTAGATGGCACTCCTGGTACCTCGGGGCTGCACACAAGGCATAGCCACAATGAGAGAGAAATGCTGGGTGCCCTGATCTAACGGGGTGAAAGACTGAAGCAGCAAGCTGTGAGGTATGCCTTGCAAGGGGTAGAGAAGCCCCATGCCAGGCAAAAAGGGGCTAAGGGTAGAAATGAAATGAAATTGAACCAAAACAGATAATTTTCTTTGCGGCAGACCGCAACTAGAGCTCTCAGACCAACCTAGGCTTGGGCTGGATAATCTTTCTTCTAACCTCCAGGACTAGCTTCTTTAGCCAGGGCAAAGGGACAAAATTGTTTGTTTTCCTCGTGTTTTGTGTAACCCCTGAAAGCAGAACATCACCTTATGCAAGGGCTGGGGCTAGCTGGCCATCTGCTTTCAGGAAATCTCTGTGCTGGGAGAGGATCAGAGCCAGGCGAGGAACACGCAGCAGAAGTGCAGCTTTAAACACTTCAGTCGCTGGCTGCTGTTGCAAGGCTCTGGGTAAACCAAGGGGCTGCCAATTGGCGGCAGAGGGCAGCTGCATTCTTTCCACAGGCTTTAAAAAACCTACAGCATTAAAGGCACTGATGGGCACAGCCGTAGGGCGGTTTTCCTGGTGCCCTTGGGCTTCACTGCTGGTACTCAGCACGTCCTGCCTGTGCCTTGTGCTGTTTCCATCCCACTGAGCCAGCTCAGCCCTGAGCGGGCTGGTCTCAGAGGCCAGCTTGTCCATTTGCTGCCCTTTGGTTTGGCGATGCGTTACGAGGCTGCGTAGCAAATCTCAATCTGCGCATAACACGGACCTGCGCACACAGAGCAGCACGAGGAGTGCCATCTACTGATAATTACACATACAGCAGCGCACAGCCCTAGGCCAGCTCACCCATCAGGTCGCTGATCCATTGCGAACGGCATCATCACCGGCAGCACGGCTGCTCATGGCTGCCAGCTCCCGTGGCATTACGGAGTCGTGGCGGCAGCGGCGTGCTCGCGGGCTGCCAAATCCTGCTCCTGCTGCAAGGTCGTTTCTTGGAGCTTCAGCAGGCAGCGTTTCTTCAGGGATGTGCCGCGTTGTTTTGAAGCAAGCCCGATCTTTGCTGCAGTCTTCTGGAAAAAAAAATAAAAAAAATCCTTGGCAGGATTAGGCTTTCTAGAATATAAATGCCCACTAATAATTTTTTAGTGTTAATGGAAGTGCCTGTATCTACTGCAGGCTGGGTCGTTTAATCAAACTAGCAGCAATTAAAATGGTAATTTCTCCACGCTAAATTCTGCTTGCAGTTTTTACTCGAGTAAAACTCTTTGAAGTTAATTGGAATTTTGATTAAAGACTCGTGGATCTGGGTCTCTGAATTTGTACTAAGGAAGGTTCAATATTTGCTTTGGTTTTCTGCACGCTGAGTTCACTGCTATGTATTAGTGTGGTTGTACAATTAGCCATAACAAGAACGACTCCAGTAAAGATTTCTGTAATCTAGTTCTTGATATACTTTTAAAAAGGTCTTTTAACAGAATGCCTTTTAAAGGCTGCCAGATGCGAAAAATTTGATTGCTTAAATTGTTTGTCTTCATTATTTCTAGTCCCTATAAACGGCAGAATAACATTCTCTTAGCGGCAATTCAAAAGCTGGGACAGGGTGGGAGGAAGGGAGATGTTCTTGCTTTTCACCCTTATGGTTCCAGTTTTGGTTGTCAATGCAAAAAGAAACAAACAAACAAACAAACCGAACAAAACCCACTAACCAACCCCCAAAAAACCCTCCACACCCCATCTATTCAAATTACATTATAACCATTATTAAAATAATAACTAACTGTGGAGTAACAGCTTTAAAAAGCTTTTTTTTGTGTGTGTGTGTGCAAATAAGAGCTCTGCAGAAAACCGCTCAGACTGTTGCAAGAGGCTCAGTAACGTTTTCTGAAGAGTAAAACTGAACCACGGTAGCATGTTCTGCCACTCGAGGCACTTGAAGAAACAGAGGAGCATTGCCTTTGTGGCTGCCTGAATTACACAGATAAATTTAAGCAAGGTCGGTATAGCTGCATGTGAGAATAAAAGCTCCTTGAATGGACGAGGAGTGGCGCAGAAACACGTCCAGAAAACAAGGACACAAATTGTAGTCTTGTGGGGGAATGTGCCTGGAACTTGGCTGCAGGCTGCTGTCATCCTGTGGGCAGCATGCATCACCTCCAGGCGAAGGAGAGATATTTCTCAAGATCTCTGAGGTGCCTGAAGCAAATATCACTTAAACTGAGATTGGGTCAATAGTTGGTGTGAGAAAAAGAAAGGGAAAAGCGGGAAGAAAGAAGGGAATAATCGTACAGAAATGAGACTGACGGTATTGGGGGCTTGGATTCTTACTGTACAGCTCTGTTTAAAAGAGTATCAAAGCTTGTGATCAAATTGCTTCGTTTTGAGAATCCCTTCAGTATTCATTAAGAAAGTTTCTTTAATCTTGAAAAAAAAATAACTCAAGCTTATAAGGCATATTGAATAAGATGTAAATCTCCTTTGCCAACAGGTCCAGCAGGTTATCAATAACGAATTCATTTGCAAGTTTATTTGCTGTGCTGGGGGGATATTTTTTTTCCTTTCATCCCAACATGGTCAACGTCAGGTTGACAACAGTATTGTTTCTCCCATTTTCCAGTTCAGCTCTGCAATAATTTAAGCGTGAGGAAAGGGATTAAAAAGCCTTGCAACTCAGAGAAACGCTCTCATCTTTTCTCCCTCGTTTTTTCTGAAGCTCTTAGCTTTGAGTTACAGAGTAAAAATTGTGTTTTTTTTCCTCTAAAATGTGGAAATGCAATATGAGGAAGGAAGGACTGACACTTTTTGACATTTTACTTCGCAAGGCAGCACGAAACCTTGAACGCTGGACGGCCGCGCAGCTCCAAAGCCAAACCGCCGCATTTAATGGTTAGCCCAGCGACCACAAGGCTGGGCGGTGAACTTTGAGCAGGCTGTTTTTCGACGGCAAAAGCGAAAAGAAGAAAAACACCTCAGAGCCATCGGCACCTGAAGGGCCGGCCGGCGGAGGGGGACGGGTCGCTGAGGGGAGGCGGGCGCCTGAGGGGGGGACGGGCGCCATTTCCCCTCCCTCAGCCCGCCCTCTTAACGCTTTGCCAGCCGGCGGCTCGCCGCCTCACGGCAGCCGGGGGCCTCCCTCATCCCCTCGGTGCTCCCCGGAGCGAGAAAAAACGGGGGAAGAACGGGGACGGGGACGTGAAGGGGAGCGGGGCGGCCATGAGGCGATGAGGGGAGGAAGGGGGGGGGGGCGGTAGCGTCCCCTCAGGCGGTTCCCGCCCAGCGCGAGGCCGCGCCCCCCGCGCGCGCCTGAGGAAAACGTTGCGCAGGTTCTAAAGCGGGGGGGGGGGGGGGGGGGGGAAGGGGGGCGTGTGAGGGGGTGTGTGAGGGGGGAGAGCCGTTAACGGCCGCTCACCGGGCAACCGCCGTCCCCACAGCCGCCCTCCCGTCCCCACAGCGCTCCGTTCACGCCCTCATGGAGCTGTCGGCCATCGGGGAGCAGGTGTTCGCGGTGGAGAGCATCCGCAAGAAGCGCGTGCGGAAGGTGGGCAGCGCGGCGGGTAGCGGGGAAACCCCCCCCCCAAAAAAAAAAACACCCCCCCCCCTCACGGGACCGACCCCTTCCCGCAGCCCTCACGGTGCTGACAGGGCTTGGGGGGGGGGGTTGGGGTCGCTGATGAGGCGATATGGGCATCCCCGCATAGGTTTTGGGCAGAGGGGGGGGGGCTGCACCCCCCTATAAGGGGTTATAGGGGATGCAGCGCCTTTGCGAAGTTCCCTATAGGGTCGCCTTCCCCCATCAGGGACCCCCCCCATAGGTAGATAAGCCCCACGCTGCAGCTCGCTTTGACTCCTGCGCTGTCGTGTCAAGGTTTGTGCACCTGCAGCGCTGGCATCCTCCTGCTAACCTGAAGGCCGCTGCCCTGCTTGGGGAAGTGTTTTTGCAAGTCCCCCCGTATCCTATTAAAGGCAGCACTGATTGCCCGTGCTCCTCAGGGCCCTTGGATGTGCTGCTGCTGCTGCTGCTTGGCTTTCTGTTTTGTACTTGGAGTGCACAAATAAACGGTTAACTTAAAGTTGGGCTGTGAACTGCTGTTTGTTTGGGTCGAGAGGCTGGGGGGCTGTGATGGATGGAGCAGCGCTCCAGTGGGGCGTGTAGCAACTGGAAGGGAACATGCCGAAGAGATGCTTCATAGGATCGGAAATCTTGTCCTTCTCCTCCCTGCTTAAACAAATTCCTTTGACACCTGCTCTTGGCATGCATCTCCCTCTCACGTTTATGCATGCTGACTTCTTGAAGCGTTCCCTGTAAACTGCGGGGATGGTTGCAGTCTGGCTCGCCGGCTGGCTTTTGGGCTTCTGCCTGCTAGCTTCTGCAAAGGTATGATCCCGATCCGATGGTAGTTCAGGCACTCCTAAATAGCCCTGTGTGCCCGTGTCCTGGGGGAAGAGGTGCAGCAAGCACAGCTGAACAAGGAAGTGGCTTTCTCTTGAAAATAAAGTGATGGGAAATGAGCTCTTCGGTTGCGGAGTTTAGTCCTGTTGATTGGTTGCACCTCTTACCATAGCCCATATTTGGTTGCAGAGTTCACCTGTTTTCTTCTTCCTTTTTCCGCCCTCAGGGTAAAGTAGAATACCTGGTGAAGTGGAAAGGATGGCCCCCGAAGTAAGTTGTGTTTTACTTGCCTTTTTTTCTTTAATATTCGGTTATAGCTTTCACTGTATCTCTGCAACTGAGCATCTCGTTCTTCATGTGTAACCTCGTGCCTCATTCCAACAACTACAAACAAAGAGCCACAAACCAAAACTCTGTACTATTTCCGGACTGGCAGCCGAGGGATACAAACCGTGTGTCAGTCTGTTCGGGTTGGTTTTTGCCACCACTGAAATATTCCATTGAGATGCTTTCTAGATACATGGCTTTTTAAATTCAGCGTGAGTTTAACAAGGAACCCTGATTCTTCTGGATTTGGCACGGGGCTTGCTTTTCTGAGTCAGCACCGAGAGGACCCCGCTTTATTTGTAGAGCTATTTGCAGTCTTTTAAAATAGAAAACAAGGTGACGGTCTTGTCTTGCAGTCCTACTGTATATCCCCTCTGCAAATCACAAAGGACAAGGGCAATATTTCGGTTTTATTGATGGTAGCCAAACGGAGGCGATCTTTGCCCCTTGAAAATTACCGCCATGCCTTCATTTCCTTGTCTGAAAACCTTTTGTTGTTTTGAGCGCCTTTTCTGCTTTTGCTTTGGTTGCCATATTGCAAGAAGAAAAAGAATAAATCTATCTCTTTACAGCATTGCTGCGCACTGTTTACAGATACTTCTCTATCAAAATGCAGCTGCCTCTGAGGAAGCGTGGTTGCTCTGTGCCTACACAATCTGTAAAAAGCTTTGAGATTAAAAAGATTAGGTAACTGGAGAATATTACGACGTCAGCCAGCGCTCTAGCAGAACAGCCTCACGGTCCGTGCAGGGCCCCGTCTGCTTTTCTGTTTGTAGCTGTGCACACGCACAGCGTGCGTGGCGACGGCTGCGCTATGCGTGTGGTTGCACTGGATGGTGCTGAGCAGAAGGGAATTCCTGCTAGCTCATCCTGTGCAGCTGCAGAGGGGGGCTGCTTGGATGTCGTCCCGACAGATTGTACCCGGTGTTTCAGACGTTGAAATGTGTTTCTGCGTGCCTGATCCTTGGAGGGCACGCACAAATAAGCAGCTTTTTCTCTCTGGTGGTGGGGGGGTGACTTTGTTCTTGACTATGAATTCTGCTGTTGGAGCATAACCTTGTGTGTTTGAGTACCAGCTGCCACGTAGCGTGGCTCAATTGTTGGACCACTTCTCCCTCCTAAGTAGCAAAGCCTCATTTAATCACTGGTAGAGATTGGGAAACATTTCCAGGCTGTGAGGCACCGTCCCATTTGGCTGGAATACCGATGTTTGTCCTGTTCTCCTTTCCACAAACACTTTGAGGTCCTTCTTGGCCAGTGACTTTGCAGGAGAAGGTGGATTGAGGCACGGTATCGTGTTTCTTTTGACAGAGCAGCCCTTATTCGTGCTGCTGCCTTTCCTTGCCCTGCATCTTGGATCAAACTCGGGGGGGAAACAGGAGCTCTGTTCTGGGAGCTGAAAGCTCAGCCTTCTGCCCAGAGAGCAAGGGGGTGCAAAGGCTCCCTTGCTGTGATGCTGTGAGAAGTCCAAACACCTTCCCTCTTCCCGCACGCTCCAGCTTTGAAGAGCACTGATTTATTTATCTTCAACTGTTCACTCAGTGGCTTGAGGTGCTTAACACCAGGATGCTTGGAGCATGCGAGTCACTTTCATCCTGCTAGCAGCCTCTCTTCCCTATTTCTAAGCAGAAATATGCCTGTGACGGCATGCAGCACCACAAGCTGTTTGCATCTTTGCCATCCAATATCTGCTTCCTCATCCCTCGTCGTGTTTTCGTTTCATTCCCCTCCCCAGCCTTGTCGCATTGCTCTGTAATCTCTGCACCGGTTACTCCATGATTCCCATTGCAGGCGTCATGGAGGAGAGAGCAAGGGTAGGACTGCAGTTGGCCTGCTCTGCCATTTATTTGGTATTTCACAGTTAAAAGAGAATCGTTCGAGCCCTGCTCCTCAGATTGCTGGCTCGTACTGCAGGAGTCAGGTAATGGAGGAGTTACAGCCTGATTCTAGCTACAAGCTTGTTTACAACTTGTGTTGGAGTTAAGAGGGGAGGGGGAAGAGGAGGAGTAGAAGGAGGGGGAGGAGGATCATATGATCTATGTTTTCCAGAGTGCCTGCTCTCTGCAGTTCTGCTGCAGCCTGGGCTGTGTGTGCCCGTATATATAGCTCTGTGCGTGTGTGTGCGTGTGTGGCAAACCTGAACCGTGTTTTTTTTTTTATGTGCAGTGTTTTGCCACTGCAGTGAAGCCAGGAACTGAGCTGCAGAGAAAAAGGCAACACCCACTGTGGATTATTCATTTTTTCTTTTTTTTTTTTTTAAAAAAAGCAAATCCTCTTTCTTCTCCTGCCCGTGAAAAGTAATCTGATGGCCTCCCCCCTTTTCTCCCCCCAGTGTTATTATTTTTCCTAAATTTGTACAACGAGTGCCAGAATCCCTGCAGCTGGGAGGAAGCCTTCCTCTGTTCAAACAGCATCTTGGCTTTGACAGCTCACAGTCAGGTTGCTGCAGGAGGCTTGGGCAGGGGAGGGAGGGATCAGATGGTTATGAAGACGTCTGTTCTTAACCCTCTGATGTATAGCGCATGTTGGGATACCTGAATTTCATATTTTTGTTCCTCCCTTTTGTAAAAGAACTGCACCTTCATGGGTAGGACCATTCTCCAGGAGCTCTCCCGTGTTTCAGTGCTTTTCCATTTCATCTGCTCATGGGGTAGAAGAAAAACAGAAAAACATTCCCAAACCACCTCCCCTGCATACATATATGCATGCACCACCTGCCCTCGTGTGCAGTCTGTGCTTCATCCAGAAATGGAAGCATCCGAAAATGCTTTCCCCCAGTTGAAAGGCACGGATACTCTTGCCACCCACCCACATCTCCTGTCTGGCCCTCCTCACGGGGGCCGGAGGAGCTCTGTCTCCAGGCCTGGGGCCTCACATTCCAGGAAACCAAATGGCCAGAGGCATTTGGGGTTTCAGCCTTGCTTTCTTGCTGTTGAGTTTGCAAAATAGACACATGCCACCCATCTTTTCTGGACAATTTCTTAGAATAAACCCACAGCAAGGCCTGCCTTGTGACCCTTCCACCCTCCAGAAACCTTTTACAAGGGGAATTTTTGGCTGCTTCTCCTGGTATGAAGAGCAGCTGTGCCCCTTGGGGACGGGTTTTGGTGTGGCCTGCTGTGTGGGTTCATAACCTTCCTGAGCAGCTGGCTCCATCACAGCTCTCTGGCAATCCCAGAGGGAGACGGGGCAGCGAGTGACGCTGCTCACAAGCTACTTTCAGAGCATCCAGCTTATTTTGAGTAGTTTCAGTAGCCCTAACCACGATGCAGGTGTGTTCCTCCTGCTCTGGTACTGAAACACCGATGGCCTCTGCTAGAGCGAAATGACCTGCAGGGGGAGCCGAGGAAGAGTTGGAAAGGCGCCATCAACTTGCCTCGGGGCCCAAGCCTAAACATGTTTAGCTGAATGGCAACAGTGGAGAAAAATTGAACTCTTCTTAAATAAATACTTTAGGCTCCGGTGATTAGAGGTAATTAATAATGCAGGTGAGAAAGCGTACTTTTAATCTTCGAGCACTCTCAATTAAGAGAGACCTATTTTTCAGAAAGCTGTGTCAGATCTCATCGCATCCCATGGATTTACTGGACTTGTGGGAGTGCTGCAAATGTGACCTGGTTAGGCGTTGTCTTCAAAACAGCTTGTGCCTCTGCAGAGGCTTTGCAAACTGTGGAGGGAGCCCAGGGGAAGAAAGCCTTCCCTGTTCGACAAATTGCTGCCTGATGCTTGGCCCTGCCTGTTTTTGGGAAGAGGAGGTGGTGTCTGGCAGGAGTTTTTTGGGGGGAATGGCTGGGATTCCTCAGAGCTCTAGCAATGTTGTGGCAGGCCCCGCTGACCCTTGTGAAGACAGTATCCAGGGCCTCAGCATGCTGGGAGCAGCCCTGCAGAGAGAATGTTTCATTAAAACGTTGTTTACTTTATATTCCTTATGTTTTTCTTCAGATACAGCACATGGGAGCCAGAGGATCATATCTTGGACCCTCGCCTGGTAGTGGCTTACGAAGAAAAGTAAGGGCGCATGTTCTTTTCTCTCCCTGGATGCAGGAAAAGGAAATACTGTCTTTATTTCGTAGTGTGTATAAACTACCCTGCTTCAATCAAAGATGAGATGTGTAGGGCTGAGCCCTGCTCCATCTCTGTACCCTGGTTGTTGCTGAGGCAGATAAGGCAGGGCTGGCACTGTTTGGGAAATAAGGCCAAACACAAGCAGCATTGAGCCAAAACGCAGTCAGTTTCAGGTTTTAATCAGGCCCAGGGCTGGACTGGAGTGATGTGAGGTGATAAGTTTCCCTAACCCATCCCTGATCAGCAAAGTCAGAGAAAAATCCCCTTGTTGCAAGAATTTCACTCCTACACGAAGAAATTCTGGGGTGCTTTCCAAGCCCGCGCTGCTCCTAATTGGGTTTTGATGGAGAAAGCGAGGGAGCTCTGCTGCAGAAGGTGGAGGTCTTGAGTAGGCTTTGTGCTGTGGTGTCTGGTGCTTGGCTTGATTTGTGTTCCTCCTTCACAGGGAAGAGAGAGACCGTGCTTCAGGGTACAGAAAAAGAGGCCCCAAACCAAAGCGCCTCCTGCTGCAGGTAGCCTCTTGCTCTTCTACCGTATAGTTGTGACTGGTTAGCTGCTGCGCTGCTGCCCTGCCCGCGGGAAAGTGGAAACTGCCCCTTGGTTTTTGCGTGGACAAAATTGGAGGTAGCCAGCTAAATCAGTAGGTAGGCAGGTTCCTTTAATCTGATAGCCGAACAGCGGCTAGCCAGGCAGAGAAGAAGGGGAAAAAAATAAACAAAACAAAGGAAGAAAACCAGCTCTTGCTTTCTGAACTAGGATCTTCTAGATTTTGGACTTGGGTGGTTGCAAATAGTTACCTGGTTTGCATGGTCTTTACCTTCACCCTGGGCCTGGAGCTTCCAACAATGTGCAAGGCAGTAGCTGCTTGGAAGTGGAGGTCCAGCACGCTTTGGTGCCCCGCAAAGCAGCCAGTATCAGGCTGCACGTGTGAGAGAGAGCTCAGATGGCAGGTGAAGAAGTGAGAGAAACAGTGTGGTAGGAGCAGAACGACTTCTCCTAGGTCACCTAGATGCTCAGGGGCTGAACTGAGGATAGATTCCCGGCTCCCAGGTGAGAGCCCTGGCTGTTATCAGATTCCCATTCTGCCCCTTGCTGTGTTGATGTCTTGGCAGCGGCTGTATGGCATGGACTTGAGGAGTGCCCACAAGGGAAAGGAGAAGCTCTGTTTCTCTCTTGCACGGAGGTTTGGAGGAGGAGACAGTAGCCTGCCAGGGGCCAAGACAGGGCAGGCAGAGTTCTCAGAGAAGACTGGGGGAACAGTCCTGCCCTTCTCTCTCCGGAAGCAACGCAAAAACCAGAAGTACCTGCGACTGTCAAGGAAGAAGTTCCCCCGCATGACGAGCCTGGAGAGCCGGAACTGCAGGTGTGAGTTCTTCCTGAACGATGCGGTGGGCCTGGAGGCCAGGCAAAGCCCCGAGGACTGGGAGGCCGTGCAGAACACCAGCAAAGAAGGTAAGGCCAGACGCCCCTTCACTGGGAAGTTCTGGGGCACGAGAAGGGATGCTCTACGTGTTTCCCCCTTATTTGCCCCATCCTGGGATTGCGGTTTAGGTCAGGTCCTCAGAGCAGCTCTCGTTGGCTCACATCGTGGCCCTCCTGTCTGCAAATTCCCTTCCTGTTTGCATGTCAGTACATCTTTGTCTGCTGATTTATCTTAATCTACCATCCTGTCGTGAACAGCGACAGGACCTGAGGGAACGGCACGAAGAGGTGACAGGGTAGGGCGTTAGGGAAAGGTTCTTCACCAAGGGGCTGGTCAGGTGCTGGAACGGGCTCCCCAGGGCAGTGCTCAGGGCACTGAGCCTGACGGAGTTCCAGAAGTGTTTGGACAACACTCTCAGACACATGGCCTGAGGTTTGGGTGGTCCTGTGTGGAGCCAGGAGTTGGGCTCGGTGATCCATGTGGGGCCCTTCCAACTGCAACACTCAATGATTGATCTGCTTTAGTGTGCGCCTGTAGTCTTAAACGGGCAGTACCCCTCCCAGTGCGAGCAAACAGGCAGAAGTTACTGGAACTTACTGCAGTCTTCCAGTTTCCCCCCAGCAGAGGTGACACGAAGGTGTGACAGTGATGAGCTCTGCCTCTGTCCACGCACCAGCACGGGTTTTGCCTGCTGGGTGGCTGTGGGCAAGCAAGGACACCAGCGCTCCTCTCCTAGTGCTGCTCTGAGAGCAAACAGGAATGCCCTTAGGAACCCGCGGCGCATTCCTTCTGCCCCCTCCTTCCCCTTCCTCCCCACGCCCCGCATCCTCTCTGAAGTCCGTTGCTGCAGAGCTATGAGCGAGGGGGGTGAGAGAGATGAAGCGAGGATGGTAACTCCTGCCTGATCCCTCCGAGTAGGCAGCGGGAGTGTAGGCATGGGAGATGTCCAAGCGCATTTGGCATTTTGGGGAGGGAGGGATACCGGCATCTTGTGCAGGAGAGCTGTGGGATGTGCGTGTTGCTCCGAGTTACCAGGGAAACTCTATCCGTGCATTATTAGAGCTTCTGAAGGCGTGAGCCTTCCCAAGGAGTGGAAAACAAGGGCTTGTGCTGCTTGTAGTAGCTGAGGGAATCCTGCTACTCCTTGCTAGGAGCAGTTGTGAGATGAGGAAGGATTTTGGGAGAGGGCTGTGTTCTGGGAATCAGCACCATCCCCTCTTCTTTCTGAGAGGGACTCAAACGGCGACGGAAATCCAGAGAGGCAGCAATGGGGCAGGCACAGAGGAACTCGGAGTCACGTCCTGGCAGCGGCCAAACGTTGGGGACTCCTCTCCCCCAGAAGTGCTGGTCTTTAAAGCACATGGGGATCTGAAGGGTGGACAGCACTAGAGATACATGAAACAGTTCTCCACCAACACGTGGCATGTGTGGAATTCCACCTAGCGCCAGGGTGGATTGAACTCTTCCTGAGGTGAAAGTAGACACCCCAAATATTTGAGACAGAAGCCAGGAAATACCCTCCTGGGGATATTTATCCCATGTTCTTTGCCTAGGCTGGGACAGCAGAGTATAGTACAGGTAGGGTGGCAGAGAGGGGGTATGTTTTCCATCCCCTCTGTGTTTTTGTGTTTATCTTTAGGGCCTAAAAATGAGGTTTTGAATGGGAGGGGGACAGTTCATTATTCTTACAGTGTGAATGTGCAGGAAAGTTTGGGTTTCTTGTAAGGAGCTATCGGGGAGCAAAGGACGGTTGTGCGAAAGGGAGAGCAGCTTCTCTGTGAAGCAACATTGATTGGTTTCGGAGAGAATTGCACCCAGGCTGCATTACAGGTGCAGTACAAGGAAGCCCCTCGGTTTTACATCCCTTTGACTCCCATGGGAGGGTCGGAAGAGTGGTGTGTGTCTAGGAGCTTGTGATTTCTGACTTTTTGGCAGGGCAGGGCATTTGCAGGCAGGTGAGCTCACACCTGGGTGGGTTTTACTGCCAGGAGCAACTGAGAGGCTGTTACCCGCGAGATGGCAGGGGATTGGGGCTGCTGGGATGCGCTGGGTGGTGGTAACGGGTCTTGGTGCCTTGTGTCTTTTCTGATTTGATGCTGGTGTGTGTCTCGACACCCCTGCTGCCGTTTGCTTTCCCCATTATAACCCGCAGCGATCTCCTGCTTTCCCATAGCCTCTGAGGGCAGGGCTTGCCCATGCCCTTTCTTGCCTTGTGTGTGCAGACTCAGTGCAGGCTGATTGCACCACCATTTGTCAGGAAGGAGGCCCCTTTTCCATCCTTCCCTTTCCTTCTCCCCGCCCTCTCTCCCTCTCGCTAACGTGCTCTTATCCGCCTCTCCTTTTGCAGCAGATGTGGATGGCAGTCTCCCGTGGATCCCCACTGTGCCCCCCAGCGAAGTGACAGTGACAGACATCACGGCCAACTCCATCACCGTCACTTTCAGAGAAGCACAAGTGGCCGAGGGCTTCTTCCGAGACCGGAGTGCGCAGTTCTGAATCTCTGTTTTCACTGCTCCCCAAATCCAGTGCTTTTAGGGTGGGGCTAGGGAGGGGTTACTTTATCCCTTAAGGAAAAAAAATCCAAAATGTCTCCTTAAAATGTTTACAGAGACCTTTTCTTTTTCCTCCTTTTTCCCCTTTCAGATACGCAAAAAAAAAGGGGGGGGGGGGGTTGGTGTTGCAGCATAGGGGGTGTGTGTTTGTCATCGCTTTGTCCATCCGAAAAACTGACAGCCCTTTCCCTGGCAAAGACTCCCCTCCTAGATGTGAAAGCAGCGAGCTGAACAATTCCCCTTTTATCCTGCTAAGTGGCGGCAGCTGCGTTTGTGGGGAGAGGGCATGTGGAGGTGGAAAGAGAGCTGGATCTCCAGCCTGCCGCCTTGTTCTGCAATTGATATCCCCTGGATAAAGATATTTCTCTGTGCAGTGCTCTTCCCACCTTCCTCCTCCCTCTCTTCATCCAGCAGCGAGAGGCGATGGATCCTACCTGTGTAGATAACTCCAGCCTGTTCAGACTTTCTCTCCAGTGCTGTTTTCCCTGTGGCCTGCTGTCAGGACTTCAGAACTGTGTTTGCCTGCCTGTGGTAAGTAAGTCTGTGCAGCACAGGTCCATCCAGACGGCAGAGGTTTCTCCGTTTGTTTGTTGGTCGTGCAGGAAAGCCTGAAATGCATCCCTGAAATCTAGATTGGCTCCCTAAATTCGATTTGCCCTCATTAAAGCTCAGAAACCCAGCACAGGCAAGACATACCGCTCTGTCTACGCTAAACAAGATTTCCAGGCTTGTCTGTGCTGTGTGAGAAATGCGTTACGGAAAGTGGGGTGTTCTTATCCTTTGCCAAATTCTGTATTAATGACAAATGCTGCCCTGAGTCCGTGGTAGTAGTTGTTTGAAAACTGACTCCTGCTCCCTGAGAGGAGGGGCTACCAGGACAACTGAAGCATTGCCTGGCACTGCAAAGATATTCAAGATCTTGGCACAGGCCCAGGACACAGGAATTGGACAGAATTGAGCTAGAAACGGACCTTGATTAGCAGCAAATTCTGTTCTTGGATGCCATTGGGAGATCCAAGGTAAACAACATGTGGGGAAGGCATGCATTGGAGTTGAAGAGGGGGAAAAAAAATCTTAATTCTTAGCAATGAGAATTCTTGGGTTGTGCTGTCGGAGTAATAATCTGCCGTGACTCCAGCCTCCTCACAGTATCTGTGATCCTGTACTACTTTACTGATGGGAACTTCCCCTTGGAAGGCTGAAAACTCTTTGCCAAGGAAAGTGGTCTGCATTTCAATAGACCCCGCCTGATCTTGCACTTCAAAATGCCTTGTGCTGGACTGCCCGTGACACTTTGAGGTTTTGGAAGAATTGCTGTCTGTTGAGTTGGTAGTTTGAACGTCTGTTCTCGCACGTGCATATTCTCTTCCATTTCGAAAAATCAAGCTTTATTTAACTAACTTAACAGTTTATAGACCTTTTCCTATGGAAAGCAAGAAAAGTAACCTAGAGTCTGAGGTGGGAACTGCCAGGGAGAGTGCTGCAGAGTAATATCGGCTGTCACGATTACCGTCCTTCAATCTTTTTTTTCCCCTTTCCCCACTCCACACAATGCTGTATTTATAGGAAGCTCTGCTATGAGCTCTGAGGTGAAGACACCTGTGGAACTCCGCAGCGTGCAGTAGTTGCTTTGCAAGGCTTTGGCTGCTAGCCTGCAGAATTTGGGAGCTCTGGGACTTCTGGTCATCCAAACACCTGGTTTTTGCAAAGTGCTTGGGCTGCCCCAAAAGCTTGTATTAAAAGCAGGCTTTATGGCAGGTAGGATGTGACAGGGCAGTGTAGAGTTAGGATTTCCCCTTCCATCTCAAAGCTGTTCGAACAGGCCTGTCTCTTACTTTGTCACAGCAGTTTCAGGACTGCTGGGAAGATGCTGAATTTCCGGACTACTCTCTTGTCTCCCAAAGAAGTGACACGAAAGTTGAATTACAGAGAAATCAGAGAGGGCGAGAAGTGGAAGGGGGGCAGAGTTACGTGGTGGGAGGAAGAGCGAGTGGGCAAGAAGCTTAGAATAGCTAGCAAGGGCAGAACGGATGAGGTAAGCACGCAGGCCCAGGATGTTTGTTGAAAGTGGGTGTCTGGAGCAAGGCTTCCGAGTCTGGAGTTGCATCATATAAACAGGATCGCTCTCCCGCAGCGCGTGGGGTCGCACAGTCTCTCTCTCTGTCACCCCCCTACATACACACACACGTCTTCCCGACACCTGCCAAACGTGCTGAATACCTGCATCTCTTTCTGCTGTGACCTGTGGTCTTTCTCCATGGCTGAGTCCGCTCACCAGGGCTGCAGCAGGTCAGGCGGTTGCAGAAGCGTAATGTTTAGCTCATTTTTGGAAAGTCATGAACCCCAGCTCATCCTGTTACATTTTCCTGGCATTTGTTGGATCTGTTTTCTTTCATGCAGCTACTGCCACCTTTCTCCTGTCTTCATCGCAGTGTACAAATGCACCGAAAAGCTTCCTATTTACCAAGGTAAACAGGTTTTGGCTGTTTTTTGCTGACATTGGAAGCAGCACCAATCCTGTGGCAGGAAAGAGCTTGTCCTAGTAAACTGGATTTCCGTCTACTGTTTTTTTTTTTTTTTTCCACTCACCAGCTGAGACTTCTCATTGTTTTGTTTTGGCATTTCTCTTTAAACATCTTTTCTTCCTCTTGCTGTGGAGTTTTCACAAACCTGTGGTGGTTTTTTTTTTCCCCAAAGATGATACACCCACAGCTTCATCTCTTAATCATTTTTTTGGTTCGGGCCATCTTGTGTTCTTCTGGTGACTAATCACCTTGCTACATGAAGCGTCAAGCGAGATACCTGCCTACCCTGCTGCCTTCTCTACGGGTCACTTAGGAGTTAACTCGTGTCAGGTTAAGATCCAACAAGCTGCATGTGCGTGGGTTTGGTGTGTGTGTGTGTGAGGAGGAGTTTGTGGCAGGAAACTAAGCAGTTGCTGTGGGGTGGGTTTTTTTTCTTGGCTTTTTGTTTTTTTTTTTGACATTCATGAATTCTTGCTTATCTTGAAGACCTTTTGAGAAGGTTTTTCTCTGCTTAAGATGTGGCTCTCTTCCATGCTGTCTGGTGACATGTCATTGTAGACTTCCTTGGTGGAGCTGGTCTTCAAAATTAGCTTTATGCCACTTCTGCAGGTGTAGAAATGCATGGGGATTCTTTACTGTTGGTGGCAGGAGAGGCTCTCTGGGTTTACTTGTCTCTTTTCCCCAGTCCCGTCCATTTGTGAGTTCAGCCAAAATTGAAAATTGAATTGGGACCTCTCGAGCTAACATATCAGGGAAATCAGATGCTGTGCTCAGAATTTCGTTAAGCATTCCGTTTGATTAGGAGAGCCAGAATAGCATCCAGCTGAAGCAGAGTTTAATAATTCTATTTGAAGCACAAGCTGAGAATAGAAATGGGCTAACTCTCCCATACCTCATTTGGCTCCATGGCTATAAACAAGGAAAACAAACTTCAGCCAGTGAAAATTACTGAGATGTGCTCAAGGAACCAAACTTCTCCAAGATCTGTTCCATGTAGGAATTTACCAGCCGTGTTTAGGAGACAAGTTTTTCATAAATCTTCTCACAATAGAGTCATTGTGTATGATATGACAGGACCGAGGGGCTTCTTGAGACTGGAAAACCTTCATTGTTAACACTAGTTGAAAAAAAAATAATAATGGGAAAGGACTGCCTGTGTGCCTGGCAGGTTATAAACTAGATGTTACTGCTTGGATATGTAAGTGATGCCTTGGAACAGCGAGTTGCAGCACGTAAATAGTGGCATTAAGTAGCCTCGTAGCTCCTGCATGCTCCGTATTGTCTTGCCTTTGCTTGGGGGCCCTCTTGCTTGTGAAGTCAGACCAAGGTGTTTGTTTTATTTTCTTCTTTTTCAAGCACAGCCAGGATACCGTTGTGAGGACACCCAGGTGCCATTCTGTTTTCCAAAGAAAGCCTAAATTTGTTAGCGGCTTGACCCTTGCTTGTGTCAGAGGCTCCGAAACAGAAAGAAGCTTGTTGAGAAATGAATGGCTTTTTTTATTTTGGTTGTTGTTAGCGTTGTGAAACTGTCCAGAATTGTTCTCCTGGTGTTTCTTTTTGACTGAATGTGTAAAAATGTTTGTTCACCTCGCAGGGGGCCAGCGGCACCAGTACTGCTTCCTGCTGTACGCCAGCTAGTGTGCTTTGATGGTTTTACTGGAATAGAGACGGGAGGCCTTGCACAGGACAAAAAATAGGCAGGGTAGCTCATGCAAGACCCTCAGTGGTAGCCACAACAGAGGCTGGGGTGCGGAAGACAGCAGCGAGTGCTGTTAGCCACATCCATGTATTTGAGCAAAGCTCGATCTGCCATTGCCTCTCCACCCTTTCCTCTCCTCTCAGGCTTTAAGTTTGTGTTTTCTGAAGTAGGGAAAGCGTTTTTTGGGGGGAAACCTCCTTTTCTACCCCTCTTTTGCTCCTCCCTTGCTTCCCTGCAGCCTGGGAAAAAGAGGGCTGTTGGGCTCCGTAGGAAAACAGTGGGGGCAGCTGCGTGTCTGGGGGAAGGGAAGGAAGGAGGTGCCTCAGAGTTGCTCTTGCTCGGCTGCTGAGGGCAGGCCTCGGGGTGAGCAATTAGCAGTGTGCTGCACGAGCAGAGAACTTGCAGTGAAACTCAAGGCCCATCTAGGGCCTCAGAGGCCAAAACCCCCTGATTAAAAGCAAATGCTGAGGTGATAAACCTGATTTTACTTATTTATTTTTGGTAATTGATCATGTTGGTGTTAACTGCCATGCATTGAAGCCCAGTTCAGTTACGGGCAGCTAAATTAAAGCAGCCTGTTCCCTACAGGCTCCACGTGCTGCTCGCTTGGCTGTGGGTTTGCCTCAGTCCCTACAAAGAGGAGGAAAATCCCACGATGGGGATGGGGAAGAGACAACTGGGGAATAGAATCAGGCCATATTCAGCCGCCTCTTCTGCTCCAGCACCTGTGATCCCTTGCATCAGCGGATGGATGATGGTGTTGAGCCACCAGATTCCACCCAAATAGCTTCTTAGGATAGGAACACCTCTGAAACTGCCAGAGGGAAAGAAGCAATCACTTCAAGTTCAATTCAGACCCTTCAAATCCTTTCCTGTAACAAGTACTTCCTGAAGGGATGACCTTTTCTTTCTCCTCCAGCCCTCTTCCCTTGCACCCTTGCTTTCAGTGCCGTGGCTTATCGGGGATGATCCCCAGGTAGGCGGGGGGAACACAGCTCAGTGGGAGTTGGTGATGGCTCTTCGGGGAGAGACGGATCGCTACCGAGACGGCGTGGGTAGGTTCTTCTCTGCTGAGATTGTTGCTGTCTGCCGTGGGCCACCCTGCAAAGACTGCAGGGGCTCTCGTCTGAAACGTGCTGTGGGTGCTGGCTGAGAGTGCCAGTCAGGTGTTGGAGAGAGCTCACGAGGCTGTTGAGAACCTCCAGCAGCTCATCTCGCTACTGGGGTAGCCGAGTTTTGACTAGGAGGGGGATTTGGGAGGAGGAGGAGGAGGAGGAGGAGAGCCTTTTTTTGTATTATTACTTTATTTTTAACCAGAAAATGTAGTGTCAGCACAAAGGAGCTCTTTGCAAATCTGTCAAAATGTTAAGCAGCTTTTTTTTAATTTTTTTTATTTTTGCTTTTAAGTCTGAAGTATGTTTTGAAGCACTTTGGAAATGCAAAGCACTAGGAGTGCAAAGCACTCCTTATCGTCTGCCTAAAAGTGGCGTTTGAAAAAGCAAAAGATGTATCTGTTTCAGGATGCTGGCTGTTCCTTAGCGTTTTTTCCAGAGCTGCCACCCAACCCTTCGTTTCTCTCCCATGGCTGAGGGGGGAGAGTTTGCTCCAGCCATGCCGAGCGAAGGAGGGCTCCCCGAAGGGGGAGAGGAGACGTGCAGGGTCCCCAACTCACCTTCAGGGTGCCTGTTGGCTTCTTCCCCGCTGCCTCCTTTCCCTGAGGAATGGGGAGAAAAAAATGCAGTTCAGTTTCAGCGGGCCTAGTCTGGAACTACGGCCGCTTCTTCCAGCTCTGGGGACATCCGCGTGAAGTTTTCTGTCTGAAGAATTGCACCTTATTAGCCTGGTTGGGGACTGGGGAGGTTCCTGCCCTTGTTGCGGGGAGAGGAAGGTGAGGGTGAGCCAGAAGCTGTCTTCAGATTATTCCGGAGGCTCTTTCCTCACCTTATCTCCAACAAAACGGCGACAAAATGACTAAAATGATTCAAACAAAGCTTTCATTCTGCATATCTCAAGAACCTTTCGAGCAGGCTGAGAGACTGTTCCCTTGCCTAGTCAGCTCTACGCTTGGAGGACCCCCAGCTCTCCCAGGGGGGCTCCAGCTCCAACCTTTCCCCTCGGCTTCTCTCCACCATTTGGACTCTTCTGCGCCCTGACTCATCTCACTCGGTATGCTTCCCTGCTGCTGGGGGGGTCAGGCAGGAAGGAGGGAGGCTCCCCGTTTTTTTCTTCGTGTCTCTTCGGTTGTTGCCGTCGTTCCTGTCAGCACGCTAGAGTATCTGAGTCTTTGCACACAGAAAAGCTTCCTTTTGCACAGAACGAGCTTCTAGCTTTTGTACAGACTAATTGAATGTATTTGGGGGGGGCCGGGAGGGGGGAGAAGTAGGGAGTAAAACCGATTCCAAACAAACCCATCGGAGTATAATGCCTTTTCTGAGCGCGTACGTGCTGTAAACGGAGGTTGCGAGAGCGAAGGGAGGGCAGGCTCACGTATAATTTGACACAAAGTGTGGTTTTATTTTTGTACTGATACGGATAAGAGACTGTACAGCATCTATTTATTTAGATGATTTATGTGGTAAATGTTGCAAACAAAATTATTAAAATATTAAATATGAGAACTGACATTTACTTAATGGCCTGTTTGTGTGGTCATTTACCTCCCCTTCCTTTAATTCTCCAGCTGAACGATTTCCCCCCCCCCGGTCCCTCCTGTTGGTATAAGCACGCAGTGCGGTTGGAAAAAAGAACGGAAAAATGCGTGTGCGTGCGTGAGAACGATCAGTAAAGAGAGGGCTGATGAAGAATGGAGCCTGCAGAAGGCTGTTCCCGGCATTACTCATGCCTTCGATTCGGGGAGGTTAGGTTTGTATTAATTTTTAACCACTGGGGGAGTTCGAGCTGTACAGAGGTGACCCGGGACAGCTGGCCTTCGGTGGCTCAGGACTGGAAAAGCAAAACGCCAGTCGCAGGGTGTGGGGAGCGGAGAGGGCAGGGGGGTTCTTGAGCCGGTCACAGCTCAGGCCTTAGCAGAGCGTGGTCGGCAGGGCTGGATGTGCCCGATGGCACTGGAGCAGGCCCCCAGCCAGCCACTAATCCTCTGGCAGCAGCTCGCGAGTCAGGTGGAGGAGTAAGAAGCTGCTGCAGTGCAGCGGGATGGGAAAACCCGCTCCAGAGCCCGTGCCGTCCTTCCCCTGCCAACGCTGCAGAGGCTGGCTGGCGCTCGCAGCTCGGCGGCTTGGCCTTTCCCACGCGTGTGGTGGTTGGATTAAAGGTTAATCGGGATGCTGTGTGCATGTATTTTAATAATCTGTTGTCGTGCCACCCCTCCGATCCGTGCGGTGCTGGAGAAAACACAAGTGCTGGAGCGACAGCGGTGGCTGATCACCTCTCGGAGCCCTTTGGGTGGAGATGCCAACCCTGCAGGCCAGCAGCCTGCAAAATCACGGGCCTGGGGGCTCGGAGCAGGTGATATCAATATTATTTTATTTTATATCAATAAAATAAAAATGTTCTCACACCTCCTGTGCTTAAATGCTGCGTGCCAGGGGTTGTGGTGAGGAAGGCCTCATAGCACCCACACGTCTTGTTGCTTCCCAACAATTTTCTTGTGAGGACCAGCAGCTGCTCTGGGACCGCCATCTCCTCTGTCTGAGAGTTTTCCTGGAAACAGGAACGAAATAAGGGAAATACCCAGGGATGTGGCTCCTCAGCTGCTGGTTCTGCTCGGAGAGGCCAAAAAGGAAAGAGCCAGGGCTGGGCTGAGACCTGTACAAGGTCTGGGGCCACGCAGCAGGCCTGGGCCCCCTCCTGTCCCAGGGGGCGAGGAGCAGGCCCTGGGGAGCCCCCCATTTACTGGGGGCAGCTGGATGGGGAGCCTGAAGCGCTCGTTTGTATGGACAGCATTAATCAACGCAATTAAAAACACCAAAACACGACGGGTGCTGGCCACTCGCTCTTTTCCAGGCGCCTCACGGCGCAGGATGAGGGCCGAGCACAAACACGGGGCCGTGGGGGCCCCCGGCCTGGCTGCCATTTTGTGTCATTTTGGGTTTGGCTGGGGTTCGCTGTTTATCTGGGGGCGTTTGTTGGGTTTTTGGGGTTCACTGGGGTTTGTTGGGCATTATTGGGGTTTAGCTCCCCCCTCCTGCCCCGTTACCACCTGCAAGATGGTATCAGGGGGCGCTTTTACGGAGCACTCGAGGCGGGGAATCCCCCCCAGCACCCACCCACTTGATTTTTCATGATCATCACTAAGATTTTGGGGCCTGTTTCCCTCGCGGCGGCGCCTGACGAGACAGAGACGATGACGCGAAAAGCAGCCAAACGAGGCCTTTTGCACTTTTCCCTCCCGTTTTATTTTTCACATTTTTTGATTCATTTCCCATTTCCCCCATCTTTCTGCCCTTCGCATCGCTCCTTTTCGTACCAACCCCCCCCCTCGACCCCATTAACCCCCCCTTTTTTACAAATTTTATTTTTTTTTGGGGGGGGGGGGGGGAGGACGGGTCACGAGGGGGCGCGCGGGCGTGCGCGTCCCCGCGGCGGGGTTGGGGTTGGGATTGGGGCTATGGGGGGGGGGGGGGCGCATTGGGGGCGGTCGGAGCGGAGCGGAGCGGGGCGGAGCGGTGCAGGGGGGGGGCAGGCGGGCGGGCGGGATTATTATGGGCTGTGGGCGCCGCCGCCGCCGCCGAGGAGCCCAAGATGGAGCTGTCTGCAGTGGGGGAGCGCGTCTTCGCCGCCGAGTCCATCATCAAGCGGCGCATCCGAAAGGTGCGGGGCCGCTATGGGGGTGCCGGGGGGGGGGTTGTAGGGTGGATGGGATGCTCCTCTGCCTGCTTATGGGTCCTCCCCCGACCCGCTCTCACCTCCCTTTATCCCCCTCCCCATCTTTCATTTTTTTTATTATTATTTTTTTTTTACCCCCCCCCCCCCCCTTCCTTCCCTGTGTTTTTCAGGGGCGCATCGAGTACCTGGTGAAATGGAAGGGCTGGGCCATCAAGTGAGTGCAATGGGGCAGCGCCCCCCACCTCCCCAACCCCCCCCCCCCTTCCCCAGGGGGTGGGGGGGTGCATGATGGGGTCTGGTAGGGGCTCTATGGGGGTGCTTGGGGGGCTCACCCCTTTTGCTCCTGTCTCGCCAACCCGCCCCGGCAGGTACAGCACCTGGGAGCCCGAGGAGAACATCCTGGACTCGCGCCTCATCGCCGCCTTCGAGCAGAAGTGAGTAGGGCCAGGCCCTGTGGGGTTACCCCAGCCATGGGGTGCCGCAAGGGCGAGCGGGGCGGAAAGGGGGGGGGGGGCGGCCGCGCGTCCCCCCACCGCCGGACCCCCTTCTAACTTCTCCTCCCCGCTTCGGCTCCCCAAAGGGAACGGGAACGGGAGCTGTACGGCCCCAAGAAGAGAGGACCGAAGCCCAAAACTTTTCTCCTGAAGGTAACTCTTATTTAAACAACTCGGGCCTAGCCCGCCACCACCGCCACCGCCGCCGGACCCCTGGCGGAGCCGTGCCCTTGGAAGCACCGCGCTTCCGCGCGCCCCGCTCGGGGCAGGGGGCAGGGAGGCACACGCGGGGCTGTGCGTGGCGAGGCTGCGGTTCCCTGCTCCGGAATCCTTTCCTTTCCTTTCCCCCCCCTTCCTCCTCCTCCTCCTTCCTTGCACGGCCTTCTGCCGCTGTCGCAGTAGCGAGCGAGCCTGCCCCGCTCCCCGCCGCCTCCTGCCACTTCGCAGCGCGCCGAGCGGCCGTGCCGGGGGTCCTGCTCGCGTTGCAGCGTCTGGGTGCTCCGCGGGAGCCGCGTGGTTTGATCTGTAAGCTGCAGGCTGGTTTGGTTTTGCTGTTGTTTTTTTTTTTGGGGAGGGGGGGAGGAATGTTTCTGCTCCGTGTAGGGTAGCAGCTGGAGCTGGCGGTGCCTCTCTGATAGACCCTGCGCCTTCGCGAGAAGGTATCGCTGTAGCAGCTCTGCCTTCTTGCAGAGAATGACGAAGGGAGTCCTAGCGCAGCTCTCCCCTTACGTTTTTTACTTATTTTTTTTAATTCGGAAGCCTGGTAGCTGTGTGACATCCATGCGAGCTCTGTGGATTTATTAGTCCAAAGGCAGAACTCCTTGCTTTCCTTCCTCCTCCCCCCCACAATCTCCCCCAACTATCTTGATCACAGACTCCAGATGAACGTAGAAGCACAATGCACCTTTGTACGATTAAGGCACATAAGGGAATTCGGAGCTTCCCTGGTTTCGATCCGGTGCGAAGCCCTGGGACGGCCGGGGCGGACGGTGTAGCGAGGTGTCTCCATCACCCAGTCAGTCTGGGGCTTTGAGCAAGTGGTTTAGCCTTTGTGCATGCTTCCCCATCTGTGAAACAGGTTAATGCTCTCCTCTTGCTGACAGCAGCAGGAGCTTTACTCAAGTTAGTGTAGCACTTGAGCTGAATGAGCACCAGGAACAACCAGGGGTAGGGTGTCACCTCTGCTCCGCTGTGCGAGCGCCTAACGTAGGAGAAATGCAGCAACGGGCGGGTTCTGATGCCCCGAGTAAAACCCAGGGGACAGGGGTAATCCTCCAAAAGTCCTGCTGATAGATCTGTCCTCCTCCTCCTCTGCCGCTCGCCTCTTCTGCTGCTCACAGTTTTTCAGCCTGCAGACACAGAAACGCCAAACGTAAGCAATCCGTACCACCTCTTCATCTCTGTACGGGGAAACTGGACTAGTTGGTTTTTCTCTTTCTGGCAGTCATGCATTAAATGAAACCCTAGTGTGTAGGGTTCCAACAATGCAGAGGGAGGCTTAAAGGGAAACCGCTGGCTTAAAATAGGTCTCTGCCTGAATTAAAAAATGCTGGTATTTGTAACACCTGGCATTGTTCGGTGGTAGAAGAGTGTCTTCCTTCTTTGTTTATTCTCTGCTTTTGACTTTACCGTGTCTAATCAGTTTATTTTCTTCTGATTCTGAACGTGTTACGGCAAAATCCGTTGCCAATTTTTTGTTCTCGATCAAACAAACAAACAAAAAAACAACCACCAAAAAAAAAAAAAAGCGAGGGAAAAGAAAACAACAAAAACCCACTCGTTCCTCCTCTTCTCCCCCTTGCTCTTTAAAACCTCCCAAACTTGGAACCTGAATTATTCAACAGCATCCTTTGAATCACATCCCTGACACGTTTCCGTGGCACATCTTCCCTCTGCCAGCTTCTCAAATGTTACCGAAAACCCGTAGGTTTGTGTAACTGCTAGGTTTGGTACTTCGGAGAAGGTGGGATGAGATGAGGGGGAAGACGTGCTCTCCTGAAGGCTGCTGCCCGCTTGGGCAGGGCAGGGCAGAGCCCCGTCGCTCTCACTCCGTTTGCAGCTTGGAGAGACGGAGCTGGTGAAGCTGCCGGTGCTTCGACTTGCCGTTTTCTGCGACTTCTGATCCTGCCTTAAAAAAAAAAACAAACAACACCCCGGGCCAGGCAGCGAGAAGTAACCGCGTCTCAGCCAGCTCCATCTCAACTTGTTGGAGCTCTGTTCAGGCAAACCTTGAGCAGCTAGAGGAGCAGCTGGGACCGGTGCACTAATCAGCAGGTCGTGTTCGCTCCCCGTGCGGCTCGGTCAAAGCTTCTGACCTGCCGAAGATGCAGGCGTGGCCCCTGATAACAGCCACGGGGCTGGCGCTGCCGCGGGACGAGCGGGACGCGGCTCTGCCTCGCGCATCGCCAGCGACCTTTGTGGCTCTCTTGGCAGCGAGAATTTCGGAAGCAGGGGGAGAAATTTGACTCTCGCTTCCCGGAGGGAGCCTTTGGGGTTGGCAGTTCGAACAATATTCTTTTTGATCTGCTGGCTGAGCAGATTAGGCCTGGATGGAGTGACGTTCAAGTCAGGAGCCTGGCCTAGGACTGCTTTGGCCGACCGGGCTGCCCTCGGCTCGGTGGCTTGCTAGGGTCTTCCGCGTGTGTCAGTGCTTGAACTTGGTCTTTTGAGCCTCCAGGAAGGCGTGGAAATACGTGCTCAGGTACACCCTTGTCCCCTGGCCTGCGTGGGTGTTTTAGGTTGCAGGTGGGGATAGGTTTATCCAGGGATTAGTTGTCGAAAGCTGCAGACAGGCACCCGGGGGGGGTTGCAGAAAGCGTTGCAGCAGGTTAGAGGCCCACGCCTTGGGAAAAGCTCTGAAAAGCTGCATCTTCAGCCACCTGCTGCCTTTCTGAGCCAGGCAAAGAACTGCATAACGCTTGCCCTTTCGACCAGCCTGCAAAGGGAAACCACGGGCTGGGCTCTGCGGGGCCGCTACCGAGATGGCCGGCCCCGTAAGGGACCCCTGCGAATTCCAACAGCAGAGTTTTTGGGCAGGAAATGGGTCTTTATCCTCTGCGTACTAGGGGCAAACTTTCCCACAGCTGAGATCAAGCTTGGCGGGAGGCTGTAATTCTTGGGAGGCTCCTGGTATGCTGCGAGCTTTGTGCCTGGGAAGCAGAGCCCTTGGTCCTGAAACGGGCAGCGCGGCGCGTGAGGCTCAAACCCTCCTGCTTCTTTGAGAGAAGCCTTCCTTGAGGACAGGTCCTTCAGCTTGAGGGTGGAGGGGCTGCTCGTGCAAGGTTAGAGAGAGGCACGAACCTCTCGTGCACGCCGTGGTGATCTTCCTCTTCCCCCCTGCTTGGTTTGCTCTTTCTGCTTTGCTTTTCCCTCGGCGCGCCGCTGTGAGGAATGCAAAACTCACCAGCTAATCTAATAAAGTCTAGCGCGTGCTATTAAGAGCCAGAGCCCGGTCTCCAGGCTCAGTGGGTGGCTAGCAAAGACTCCCCTTCGGGGTGGCTGGAAATACACTGAGGGGAAAAAGGCTGGAGGAGGTTAATAGGGAGAGAGATCAGTAACCGAGAGCAGAGCGAAGGAGAGGGGGGCCGAAGGGGCAGAGCAGCGCCTTGTTCTGTCACTTCGCCCTTCCTTGAACTCTGAAGTTGGAGCTGGCTTTCTTTTGATCTCCTCCCCGTTCGTAAATTATCCCCGAGCGGTTTGAAAGCAGCCCGTTCCCCCTTTGTAGCATTTTGTTCCCCATCCAGGAGGGAAACTTTGGTTTATGGCGGGGTTGCTTGGGAGAGCTGTGCTCTGAGCTGGCTTGCCGTCGCCTTGCCGCTTGGAAGGCTGCAGAAGAAAAAGGGCAATAAAAAGGCAGAATGGCAGCCAGAAAGGGGAAAAGAGGAGCTCTTGCAAGTGCCGTTTGGAACAAGGACTGTGGGAATGCAGGTGGAGAATAAAAGACAAAGCAGAACCAGTAATGGGCGAGAGAGTAGCGCTGCTGTGGCGCGGCGGTGCTACGGGAAATCACTCGATCTTGAAATAATTAACGAGAAATCTGTTGCCTTGCAATCTGGGAGGAAAACAAAACAAAACAAAAAAAGGACCTTGCGAAGGTTTTGATACAAATCAGGTAAGCAGGCCTTCCCAAAGCACGTGTCGGTGTACGTGCTTGTGCGCCTCGGCGCGTTAAGGGAATGAATGAACAAATATGCTCGCCGGGCCTCAAGGGACATTTATTCAGAAATAGTAGGGAACAAGGGAGATAATACGAGCTCCCAGAGGCAATGGGAAAGAGCTGTACAAGCTAAATAAAGGTGATACATATCCCAAAAGGGAAGCGGGGGGAAGGGAAGCGATCCTAGCAATTGCCTGGCTCTCGTGACAGAGCACTGCAGCAAGCCTCCAGAAGCTGCCTCCTGATGTAGGCTGAGCTGTAAGCCGAGAGCGAATTACTTCATGGCCGTGCTGAGCACTCCTTCAGCGGTGAGCAAACCCTGCGGGGGCAAACAGCCAGCCCCAGCGAGGTAGTTCCCGTTTTGGAAGAGTTCTGGGTGGAGAAATGACCCGGTGAGGTGGCCAAGAGGATGGAACAGGTTCGTTGTCAAAGCCTCGGTGCTCGCACAGCTCTCGAGCGTGGTAGAGCAACGCACCTGTAGCAGGATGAGGTACGTTTCCAGCAGCTAAACCTGCACGCGGAGTCTCCTGGAAACGGCAGGTGCACGTTGCTTGAAGTTGGAAGCAAGAGAAGGAAAGGACCGAGCCCCGAAAACGCCCTGTGCTCTGCAGGGAAGGGACCGGAGGTCGTGAAGTCGATGCCCGAATAAACCTGATCCTGCGCTAGGAATACGGAGCTTCGTGAGTGAGAGAGAGCTGTGGGGGCTGGTCTTAGATAAAGCATCTGATACTATTTTTTCTTGAAACCTTACCTGGAGAAACAAGCTGAAGGTGACCAGCAGATTTGCATATTGTTCTGTGGAACTGGTGTTGAAGCTGAGCGCTGGGAGCAGCGGCAGAGCAGCTGGGGAGCTCCCTGCTTACCCTGTCTCTTAAGAGTTTGGCCAAGGAGTCTGCATGGAGAGCACCAAAACGGGAATTTAATGAATGCAGAGAGCTGAAACGTGAGTTGGAGGCAGCTTCAGCCTTGAAGAAGTGCCCCAGAAGTGACTGGAAATGCAGACACGTAGTAAATGAAGGAGACCTGGTTGTGGTGGCACGCTGGGGGAGTCCTAGGCATGGAGCAGTGCCAGGGTGCTAGCTGCTCCGTAAGCACCAAGCAAAGGCAGATCTCTGTCAGGACAGGGCAGGAGCTGCTCGATGTGCACAGGCAGAAAATGGGACAGCAGCAGGACTTCAGAAGTGGCCAGCAGTGACGCTCCCCCTGCCATGGGAGTCTCCACATCACGGGTGGTTGGGGTAGGAGCACGGAGAGTTGAGGCAAGGGGCAGGGAGATTCATGCGGAGCTGCTGCTGTGCTCCAGCCTGTCGGATGCCTGAGACAGAACCGTGTCTATCCCTTTTCTGAACCATTTTGGGCGTGGGGTGATGGCGTGAGGCTGAATCCCCGCCGCACGGCAAACCTTCAGTCTGCATTTTCGCGTACGCCAGGGGAAGGAGGCCTCATCCTTGCACTCCTTTTACAGCCAGGATGTAAGGAGAACTGCAGGGAACAACCCAGCCTTAGCCAGGGAGGAACAAAATGTCTTCACGTCCTCGTTCAAGGTCTGTGCTTCTTGTTGGGCCCTCGGTGGGAGGCGAGGGGCACGGGGTGAGGGCAGAGCTCCCTGGGGCCGCGGGCCCAGGGCTCTGAGCTCATTGTGCAAGAGCAGGCCTGGGCCCCTCGCTTAGATCTGTTAGATTGCTGCCTTTACAAGAACATTTTTTTTTTCTTCCCCAGGCGTTTCTTCGGTAGGAGGCACAGCCTGCAGGGCGACAAAGGAGATGGTGTTGGAGTGCTTAAGCTCTCAGCTGGCAGGCGGCCATCCCGAGCTTGGCTTGCGTGAGGGGGCAAGCGGAGAGAAAAAGTTGGGGAAGCAAAGCAGCTGCCTCGGAGCACTGCAGTTCTGGCTGTGCCCACGAGATGGGGAAAGCTGCTCGCTAGATGGGTAACGGGAGAGGGGGGCTCGCCCCATGAAACTGAGGATGGGGTTGGAATTGCTCCTGTCTCTCAGATTTGTGAACCGAGGTGCTGTCTCCGAGGGACAGAAGAGCTTGGAAGTCTTGTTCCTCTGCCCTGGCTCTTGGGGGGCTGGCACCAAGCAGTTAAGGCAGTGTTGCTCCTGCTGTTTCAGTAACAGCCTTTAAAAGGTTCGGTGTTCAAAAGGGCGAAGCAGTGGCTTCCTCAGAGATGCAGTTAAACTTCACTCAATCTCCAGCTCGCCTCATCTCCGGCTTTGAACATCGGACCTTGCTCACCCAGCAGAACAGGGCTCAGCAGCCTGCCTGTGGTCTCTCGTTAAAAATTAAGCTTCGGGTCTCCGCGTTTCTTGTGCTTAGCAAAGACAGCTTCCATCAGACCACCCTCACCCACCTTCATCTTTGTCTTTCAAGACCTGCTGTGCCTAGTGGAAGAGCAGATATGTCTTGTTGGGAGGGGGAAAAGCGAACTGGATGTGGTACTCTCTGCCTCCCCCTCATCTCTTGCTCATTCCCAGAGGACAGGGGAATGAGCCCCCTCTCTTGAGACCGGATTTCAGTTTGGGATGCCCCCTCGGTGCCAGGCTGGGGACAGAACTGGCAGTCTGGTGCTGAAAGTGGGAGCTCACCCCAACAGAGCTGCAGTTTTTGGGGCCCAGATCACCAGTGGGTTCGAGGGGAGGTGGCGTGGATGTGTGGTTGTCGTGTGTGTGACCTGGCATTGCTGTTCCGCGCCCGGCTTGAGATGGGGCTGTGCATTAGGCTACCTCTCTGACCCTGTTTTTTTTTTCTCTCTCCCCACCACCGCAGGCTCGGGCCCAGGCGGAGGCCCTCCACATTGGGGATGTACACTTTTCTGTCAAGCCCGGTTCTAGCACCTCGTCTCCCAAGCTCCACTCCAGCGCCGCGGTGCACCGGCTCAAGAAAGACATCCGACGGTGCCACCGCATGTCCCGCCGCCCCCTGCCTCGCCCGGACCCCCAAAACGGGGGGAGCGTGGGCGGCGGGGCCGGCATCCGTCCCCCCGTCTCGCCCTTCTCGGAGACCGTCCGCATCATTAACCGCAAGGTGAAGCCCCGCGAGCCCAAGCGCAGCCGCATCATCCTCAACCTCAAAGTCATTGACAAAGGCGGCAAGCCGGCCAACGGCACCGGCGCCCTGGCTCGGCCCAAGATCCCCTCCCGAAACCGCGTCATCGGCAAGAGCAAAAAGTTCAGCGAGAGCGTCCTCCGCACCCAGATCCGCCACATGAAGTTCGGCGGCTTCTCGCTCTACAACAAGCCCTCCGCCGCGCCCGCCCCCTCCCTGGAAGGCAAAGGGGAGGCCGAAGGCTCCCAGGCGGCCTCCTGCGGGCTCATGATGGGCTCCACCCCGTACGACGCCCCCAGCTCCAGCTCCTCCGGCTGCCCCTCGCCCGCCCCCCACTCCTCGTCCGACCCGGATGATTCCCCTCCCAAGCTGCTCCCCGAGACCCTCAGCCCGGCCGTCCCCGACTGGCGCGAGTCCGAGGTCCTCGACCTCTCCATCCCACCCGAGTCGGCGGCCACCAGCAAGCGTCCCCCCCCGGGGGGCTGCGGCGGGGGGCAGACGCCTTCCTTGTCCCTTTCTTCTTCCGAGCCGGAGCAGGAGGCCGGCGACTGGCGTCCCGAGATGTCCCCTTGCTCTAACGTGGTGGTCACGGATGTCACCAGCAACCTCCTCACCGTCACCATCAAGGAGTTCTGCAACGCCGAGGATTTCGAGAAGGTGGCGGCGGCAGCGGGCGGCGGGGGAGGCGGCAGCAAGTGAGCGAGCCAGGTCCCCCCCCTTGCTCCGGGGGGGCCGTGGGGGGAGCTCTCCCTGCGAGAAGTCGTGGTGTGAATGGCTGTCCTTGGTTCTCTCCTTCTCCCCTGCGCTGTCCCTCGTCCCTCACCGCCGCCCTTCCTCCTCCTCCTCTTCCTCTTCCTCCTCCCTGCCTGCCCGGAGGCTGGAGGGGGGGGAGCAGGAGGCGGCGGTGGGGCTGGCGAGTGGTTGTTTGTCCTTGAGTGTGGTGTTGTCCAACCGGCGGCGGAGCCTTTGGGCCGCTCTTCCCCCTCCTCCCCCTTCCATCTTCGACAAAAACCGCAGAGGAGCTCCGGAGCCTTGAGGGGCGGATGGGAGAGGACTGGAGCCCCCACCCCATGAGCCTTTCCCCCCCCCTCACGGTGCATGCAGTCTCTTCCATCCCTCTATTTCCCCACCACCACCACGCCGACCCTATAAGTCCTCGCCCTCCTTGGCCCGCGGCCTGGAGCCGCCATCTCGCGCGGTGCTGCTGCTCCAGGCCCCCCGGGGCAAGGAGGAGAGGGGCGTGAGGTGCCTGCAAGGTGCTGGGGACGAAGCTGGGGCCGTGGGGCCGCCCCACACCACAAACCGTCCCACGTCGGCTTCCCCTTCCCTCCAAATATTGGTGCTACCTTGGCAGTTGGCCGGCCGCTTTCAGGTGGCCCGCGCCCTCCTCTTCCTCCTCCTCCTCCTCCTCCTCCTCCTGCTGCATCTTCCGCCTTGCTCAGCCTTGCAGGGGGAAGAGGGAGGAGAAAGAGGAGCCTGCTTCCAGCCAGATCTTCCTCCTGGCCTTCAGCACTTGCACTTGCTTGGGGGAGAGGGCATGAGATGTCCGTGTCCCCCCCCCCAGCCTTTCCGTGGTGGGAGCGGGGCTGAGGCCGTGCGTCCGTCCCGCAGCCGGGGAAGAGGGCTCCCCACTGCCCTTTTGGGACCTGAAAGGGCCCGTACAACTGTCACCCAAAGGTGCTGGCAAGAAATAACTGTCTCTCTCGCATCAGAAGCACGCGTGTGCTGGTCCTCTCCCCTCTTCCTTTTCCTCTCCTTTAAGAGCTCAGTGGAGGCTTTGGGGATGCGGTCGCATTCACAGCTGAAGCTTAGGGGCAGGGAGAAAGAGACTTCCCCCGATCCATTCACCCAGCTAAGGCTTCCTATAACTCGTTGGACTCGTGTGCGTGTCTGTATCAATACCTGCCTGTATTCTTTGTGTCTTTACTTTGGCATCTTCTCCTGTGCCTGGCACACCCGGGGATCCCTTATTTTAGCATAGCCTATCCGTGCGACTGCAGCTTCGAAGTTTGTACCTAGAGGGAAAAGCTCTGCGGGAAATAGCAAGGAGATATTTCTCTTCTTCCCCTTCTAAATAACAACAATAACAACAAAAAAACTCAACTATTTGGAGGCTGCAGGATAAGAGGAGCTTCTTTGCAGGGTGGATGCAAACCGGCCAGTCACTTTAGGTCGTTCAGTTGCTGTTTGGTGTGCGTGTGGTGATGTGTTTCGTTTCGTGGTAATGAGGTCCTGAAAAAAAAAAACAAAAACAAAAAACACAAACCGAAGCGTTTAAGTGGGAGATAAAAAGGGAACTTTAATAGGAAACTCTTGATGTGTTTTGGCCAAGGTGTGCTCGCTTGGCAGAATCCTTTTCCCCAGTGTCTCTTGTGCGGTGTTCTGTGGGGGCGAGGGGGCAGGAGTTGTTTAACCGAAGGGGTTTTGCCTCTCTCCAGAGTGACAAGCGAAGGGGACTGTCTGTGAAGAGCAAAACAGTGGGGTCGTTGTAGGGCTACTCCGCGAGGACCTTCTTCCTGTGGTGAGGAGACAGGGGGGGGCTTGTTGCGGCAGAGGAACTCGTGGTAGATCCTCTGGAGGAAGAAAGGAGTGCGATGAAAGGAGTACGATCCGGCTTGCAGACACAGCTCGGCCGCTTGTGTGACGCATCCCCCACCCCGGGGGGGTCACCAGGTGGGACCCAAACCCTGAACCTCTGGATCTGAAACAAAGATCCTGTGCTCTTTTCGGGTTAGGTCGGCTAACCCGAAGGCAGCAGCAGCCTCAAAAGTTCCCTCAGGTGGACGAGCCGCTTGGGGCTGAGCAACCGACCCTCGGATTCACGTGGGTCGTGCTCCCCCTCCGAAATTTTTGCCCATGCTCCGCAACGGGGATGGGAGGAAAAGATCTCCCCGTGCCCTTTAGGAAAGGGCACGGGGTGGAGGGAGGAGTTTATCTGAAAGTATCCCCTTCCCTTCCCCGTAACCCCTAGGAAAACAGAAAACAAAAACAGGGAGGTAATTCTCTGTGTCTGTGCCATGTTTGTTCTCTTGTTGTTGTGTTTTTAGAGGAGATTTTATGATGGAGTGGAAAAAGTGAAATGATTAGTTTTGCATAAAAAAAAAAAAGAAAAGCTTAAAAAAAAAATTTCTACAGGGAGAGAGAGAGCGCGAGAGAGCGAGCGAGAGAGAGAGTTTAAAAAATGACTAATAAATGCAGTGATTGCACAAACTGTAGTGGTTTTAGACGGTCCTTAGAGAAAAGAGTATTTTGTAGTATCGAAGCATGTGTGTCTGGGATGGTGTTTGGCTTGCTTGAACTGGAGGGAAAGGCGTCCTTGGGACTGAGCAGCCGTCTCCTAGCTGAAAAAGGCAAGTTGCGTGTTGGAGGAACCCCCGTCTGCAAACCCTGCCCGTCCTTGCCTCCCGAGTGTCGGAGTGAGTTCCCTTCCCTCCCATCCCTCTCCTGTGAGCTAAGGTGGAGTCTCCAAATGGTTTTTCCCGGCCTTCAGCCAGGGCCGGCCCTGGTTCTGCCCGAGCCTTGGGGCCAGGCCCGCAACACGGAAACAGTTGACTTGACTTTGCATGCACAGCAAGCTGCTAGATTTGGGGTGGGCATGTACCTTTCCTGCCAAATCGCCGTCTCTCCTCTCCCTCCCCCCGAGGATTAAGCCCAGCGGGGGCTCACGCAGACTCGCCTCTCCTCCTTTTAGGGTCTCTGAGCCACCAGAGCTTGGCGTCTGAGCAGAAGGTGGCAGGCAGGGGACGCCAGGACAGTTCTCTGCCTGGATTTCTCTGGTGCCCTGGGCTCGGCGAGGGATGTCCCGACGCCTCCCTTAGCCCCTGCTGTCCTCGGGAGCTTCCTCTTCTCTCTCCCTCCCTACCCGTCGAGGTCTCTCAGTGCTTCCCGCAGCCTCCCGTCTCGTGCTCTCCTCCCTCCTGGCCGAGCAGAGCGTGAAGCCGATGAGATGCGAGCTCCTTTTGGGGTGGAAAACAGAGGAAAAAAACAAAACAGGCTGTGGTGAGCAGGCCCGGCTGTGGTGAGCCACGACTTGAGCTCTGTTTTCGGAGGAGCGTTTCTTCTCCCCGTCCCGACGTTCCCAGGGAGGTTTCTGAAATAACCGTAACGAAATAATGAAACCCAGTCCTGCTCTTTACCAGGTAGGAGCTGTCTCTGAGCTGAGTCTTCCGAGGGATTTCACTCCCTTTCCCGGCCCCTCTTTGTAGAGGAGGTTTCGGCAGCTGCCTGGAGGCAACTACCTTTTTGGGGGCCTCCTGGCAGCAGAGGAAAAGCTTTCTCTGGGCTCTGCCGTGCTGGGGGTGCTGTCCCAAGTCCCCCCCGCTTCTGCCCAGTCTGGGCCGTGGCATTAGTGAGACGGCTTGGGAGCAGATCTTTGTCCCCAGGGAGGTGTGACAAACCTGGAGCGCGTGTCTGGCTAAGTGCTTGGTTTTTTTTTTATTCCCCCTCGCCTCCTTCCTCCCCCCCTCTTCTGACAAGACCTTTTTCCTCCTTGCCTGGCGCATCCTTTTACTCCAATGTCGCTTGCTTTCGCTGCATCTTTCAATCGCCCAATAATCGTGCAAGAGCTGGGATCTTATTTTACTTTTTTTTAATCTAGAAATATCCGAGGATCAAAGGAACGCCCCCTCCCCTCTGCCACCAGCCCGTCCCGTCCCACCCCGTGCGCGCTCCGTCCTGGCTGCCGCGCTTCAAAAGCTGCCACAGGGCTTCGAGTTCTTCTTCTTTTCTTCCCATTTCTCCTTCCAGCAGCGAAAGGTGCTGTTCTTGGTCTGCCCATGGGAGACCAGGCTGTCTCCGGCAGCTCTTCTGAAGGGGCACGGTCAGGACGAGCCCCTGCAGAGCCAGCTCCCAGCAGAGCCCCGGCTCTCCTGGCTTTGTTCTGAGCTTTGTGGGGCTCTGGCTTTGCCCTGGTATTTAGGGCCTGAGGCTGCCCCCCGGGCAGAGCAGAGGCAGGTAGGTTCTCCTCAGCAGGTAGGTGGCCGAAGGGGCCAGCCTGCTGCGGACGTGGCCTTAGGTCAAGTTCTCAAACAGAATAAAAAATAAGTAAAAATTGGCCGTGATGACTCGTCTTAGGAAGAAGTCATCGTACCCGTGCCCCCCTTCTTGCCCCCGTTAGCTTGGTTTGCTGTCCTCCCCTCCTTCCCCCTCTCCCCCGCCGTGAAGCCTTGTTTGCTCCTCGAGAACGGAGGACTCTCTCTCTCTTACTTTGGGATTTTTTGGTTTCGTTTCTTTCCCTTTTGGGTAGAAAGTCATCCAGTGGTGGTGGAGGACAGGGGCCTGCCTCATCTGTTTCTTCCTTTCACCTTCCCCAGTGCCAAGCTTAGGCTCGAATCCTGCAGGTTCCTGCAACTCTTCCAACGCCGAGCAGGCGGAGGTTGCCCCACTGAGCTCTGTGGTACTCGGGTGCTTCAGCTCCTGCCCGCGCTTGAGTTTTGGCAGCACCAGAGCCTTGCTCCTTCTCTTAGAGAAGGGCAGAATGAACTCCTAGAGTGCTGGTGGTTCTGGTGCACCCCATCTGTCCCTTCATTTCCCCCTCACTTGGCATACAGAGTGAAGGCGGTCATTTGTTTTTTTTTAATTTAAAACAAACCTAAATATGTATCTTGTAATTTTTTTTTTTATTTTGAAAAAAAAAAATGCATTTAAGAATTGTGCACGGATGAATTGTATATCTATATATTTTTTTTTTGTCTTGCAATTTTCATTTTAAATAGTGTTTGCTTTTGTTCTGTTTTGTTTTGTTTTTTTCTTTTTTCTTTTTTTTTGGTGTTTTGTTTTGTTTTTAATCCAGTTCCCAGCTGGCTAAACTCTGTCTAGAGCGGATGGGTGGGAGGCACAGCCGCCGGAGGGGCGATTGAATCGCCCCTTCCCCTGGCGCTTCCCGCAAAGAAAAAACTGGTTTGCTCCAGGTTTTGGGGGTGGGGGTTGTGCTAATTACTCTTGTATTCTTGTACATTTTGTTCTTTCTGCTGCTCTTGAATATTGTATCAATGCCAGAAATGGGGAGTTAAAAAAGAGAAAAAAAAAAAAAAGGAAAAAAAAATTAACCCCAATAAATTGTTACATTCCAAATGTGGTCGTTGTTCTTGGGGAGGGGGTGGGATGGGGCCTGGGGGGGAGGTGGGATGGGGGCAGCGGGGAAGGATGCTCTGTTCTGAGCTGCGATGGGGAAAGGGGGTGGTTTGGGGCAACGAGGGCTGGAAGGGGAGAACCATGGGGAGAACCACGGCGACTTCACACTTTCTGGGTAGTTTCTAGGCACAGCCAGTGCCTGGCATCCTCTGAGGCGACCATTGACCCCAAATTCCCTTAATGCTATTGTTCCCTGACGTGACTCGGGTCTTGTCCAGAGGGTGCCAGCTTGGGGAACATCTCCAGCATCTGCAGCTCACGAAGCCCTGGGGCTGCCCTCTCCAGAAATGTTGTGTTTTTAGCAGGGATCGCTGCCTGCCAAAGCAAAGCACAGCCAAAGATTTCATGCTGCTTGTGCCAGGCTCACCTCAACCCCGCTGAATGCCAAAAAAAAACACAGTGGGGGCATCCTGGGGCAGCTCTTTTGCCTCCTAAGTCGTCTCAGCCACGTTTTTTTGGAGCAGGAAGAAGGATGGAGAGGTGGATGCCAGGCTGGATGGGACACACGGACATCGGTGAGGTTGTGCCTGAGCGTGCCGGCTCAGACAGCCCTAATTATGGGGTGGGATGACAGGAGATGCATTTATTGGGATGGGAGACCTGAAAATAAGGACAGCCGGGCTGGAAGGGGGTTGTTGTGCCGCGCAGCCCTTGTGGATCCCTGGGCGAGACGGGATGGAGGCTTGGCAGGAACCAAGCAGGGGCAGGATGCTCACCTGAGCATCACCCCCTTCCCAAACCCATTTATCCCATTTTTTCCCCATTTTTTCTCGGTGCTGCTTTTTAGGGGGGGGCTTCGGGGCTCGGAGCCGCCCCGGGGCGGGCCGGGGGGGGGGCGTGCGGCACCGCCCGGCGCATATAAAGGCGGCGCCACGGGGCCCCGGCGCCGGTGCTGCTGCCATCCATCCATCCGTCCGTGTCTGTCCGTCCATCCGCCCATCCATCGGCTGCCTCCGGGCTGTCCGTCTGTCCGTCCATCCCTCCGGCTCCCTTTTTCTCGCCGTCCTCGGGCCCCGCGCCCCCCACGCCGCTGCCACCCTGAAGTTTCTGGCCGTGCTGCTGGCGGCGGGCATGCTGGCTTTCCTGGGGGCCATCATCTGCATCATCGCCAGCGTCCACCCGGCCGGCACCGCCGCCTCTTCCTCTCCCCCTTCCTCCTCCTCCTCCTCCGACAATGACTCGGCCGCCGCCGCCCTGCTCCCCCCGGCCGATAAGGGGCTGGGGGCCCTGCACGGCCCCGCCGAGGCTTTGGCCAGCGCCGGTCCTCGGCTCCCCGGTTCTCCCCCTCCTCTTTTCAGCCGCTTCGTCTGCACCCCGCTGAGCGCAGAGTGCCCCGCGGCCACCGGCCCGGGGACCACCGGCCCCGAGGAGCTGCTGGCCCTGCGCAGCGCCGCGGCGCAGCTCCGCCGCACGGCGCTGGAGCAAAAAGAAAGGATCCGCATGGACCAGGAGACAATCCGGGAGCTCACCGGCAAGCTGAGCCGCTGCGAAGGGGGGTTCCGGGCACCCCAAGCCCCCGCCGCTGGGTTGCGGGCAGCCCCCAAGCCCGGCACCATGGGGCATCCCCCCGCCGAGCCGCCCGCTGTCAGGGAGCTGGAGGAAGCGGTGCGAGCTCTCCAGGACCGCATCGAGCGCATCGAGGTGCGGGGAGAGGGCTCGGGGGGTCGGGGGAAGGCTGGGGGGGAGCCCAGCCTGGGTGTGAATGGAGGTGGGATGGTTTGGGTCTGTGGTTGGGAGGGAGCGCAATTAGGGGAGGGCGGTGGATAGGGCGCAGGAGAGCCCCCAGGTGCTGCGGGGACACCCCCGAGGTGCACCAGGGTCAGAGCCACCTGCGAGCCCTCGGCTGCCCCGTCTTCCCATTCGGGTCCCCATCGCTTTCCCTACTGATCCCCAGGCCCCCTCGGGGCAGAACGGATGGTTTCGGGGCTGGTTTTGCCCCTCTGTCCCCTCTTACAGCAGCAGGCCACACGCAGGGGAAGGAGGCATCTTTGGGACTTGCTGCCCATCCTCCTCGTCCCCAGCAGCGAAGCCCACCTGCCCTTAATTCCCTACAAAGCACCCACCCCAGGGAAGGGTTCGCACGAGCGGGGTCCCGCAGGCTATAGGGGGGCTCTGGCTCACCCACATCCACACGTGCCCAAGGAGCACGCGATATTTGGGGGATCCAGCCTGATAGGATGCTGTGCGGCACCTCGAGGACACCCGAAATTCCCACTGGGGTTCCCTGGAAGGGGGAAGGAGGGAGAGGGGATCCTGGTTGAGCTCGGTTTGGGGAGAGGGGTGAAGCAAATCGCCCCGGGGAGGTGATTTCTGTGGTTTTGTCAACAAGGCTTGATGCTGGATGCTTTGGGGGCTGGCAGATCATCGATATAACCTGGGCCCTGTAAGATGTGAGATTTATCGATACAAAACCTATTCAGTCATTTGATTCTTGGTTTGCCCCAGGGGAAGCGGGGCAGGCTCTGTGCCCCCATGGGCGAGGGGATGGGTGGGGGCATCGGGGAGCCCTCCCTGACCCTGTCTCACCAAGGAGCATCGTCTGTTTCTCTCCCTAATGTCTCCCGAAAGCCTTTCTCGGTGTTTTTCCTCCGGGCACAGCGTGGCTGGCCTTTTTCCTCCCCTTTTCCTTTCCCCCCCCCTCGCTCTCCTGCACGCCGGGACGCATCTCCCTGGCACGCCGAGCCGGGGAGCCAGATGCTCCTTTCTCCAGGCTTTTAATTACTGCTGCAAATTGAAACGGAGAGAGCTTTGGGAGGGAGGAGGACGGCTCCTCGGAGGGGCACGGCCTGGAGATGGAGGAGCTGGCTGCACAGCCAGGGGCACCCAAGGGATCAGAGCCCTGAGCGAGGCTCGGGGGCGATGGAAATGCGCCGTGAGCTTTTCCCGTGGTGGTACCCCGGGGTGCACCCCGCTCCGGGTCCCACGGTGGGCATCGTCCCTCGTCCCTGCCCTCCTCGTCTCCTCAGCCGAGGTGAGCGGGGCACGAGGGGAAGCTCCGGGGAGCAGATTTGCTGATGCATTAGTAAATTACGGCCCTGAGCTCCTTACATAAATGAAAGTGCATTTGCCCAACAATGACTCCAGGCTGAGCAAGTGCGTGCCGGGCCCCGCCGCCCCCCCCCTAAACCCCCCGCCAGCCGCTGACATTTAACGTGATTAATATTACCTGGCAGCACTCAATCTCCTCGCCCGGCTTCGGTGGCCAAAAAAATGCCGAGCGAGCCTCCCCCGCACCCGCTGCCCACTCGCGGCGGCAGATGGGAAGCTGGGCGCCCACCGAACAGCCGGGGAGGAGGCGCTCCCCCCAGCTCCCCTCCCCGAAAGCCGCCGGTAAATAACAGCTGCACAGCCGTAATTAATAGTTTGGTGAATAATTGGGGAGAGGAAAAAAAAAAAAAGAGCTGGGAGATGCGGGGGGTGATTTTTAAGGAGAGGCAGCCCAACGGGACAGGAGGGCACACGAGGAGATGCCACGGAGTGAGAGAAGTGAGAAAGCCACAGGAAGAAAAGTTGAAGAGAGGGGGGTGAAATAAAAAAAGCCGGTGCTCAGCCCATGTTGAGTAATGTAGGGCAGGCTATCGGGGGCTAGCAGGAGCGACAGGAGCGCCCAGTCTTTTCTTTTTTGGTGCTGAGCAGATGGAGCTGGGCGTGCGGCGGGGAGGCAGGCGTCCAGCCCCCGGCTCCAGCAGTCGCAGCCTGCAGGCACGGCGCAGGGGAGCACGCACAGGGCCCTGACTAACGTGTACCCATGGCACTGCTCCCTGCCTAACCCCTCTGTGTTATGGGGACCAGAGGCAGGATGCTCTTTGCCGGGTGCTTTTCCCTCCTGGGAGGGGTTTTTCTCTCCGCAGGGGCATCCTGGAGAAAGCCGTGTGCCCGCTGCTTGGGGCTGGCACCTGCTCTCTGCCCACCCTCCCCTTTGGTTTTGCTTCTCCGCTTTGGTTTCCTCAGCAAAACCTGCGGAGGTCTTGCCCCGGCAGTCCCTGCTGGAGGCTTTTCCCGAGCCCGGAGCTTCGCTGGCTCTTGGCAGCATCTCCTCGCTTCCAGCCTCAGCGTGTTCCCTCCTGGTCCGGCTCCACTTGCGCTCACGCCAACACCACCTTCCGCTCTTCCTCTCCCTGCTGCTTTCCCCCTGCCGTTCCCATCCGTGGCGGCCTCATCCAGCACGGCCAAGCCTGGCTTTCCTCCAGCCAGGGCAGCTCGGCGGGGCGGGGGTGTCACCGTGTCCCCACGGGACGGGTCACAGCCACCGACCCCATTCCTCCGTGGCACCGCTTACAGGTGTCCCGGCGGCTGGGGCCGTGCCAGCAGATGGGTGAGGCTGGCTTTAGGCCGTCGGGGGGCTACCTGCCTGACCCGGCACGCGTGCACGCGCCCACGCAGGGGCTGAGCCGGGCTAAGAGGATTTCAGCCCTGGGACACGACGCTACAGCACTGGCCGTGCTGAAACAGCAAAGCAAGCAGCGGGATGGCGCGAGCACCCGGCCTTGCTCTGCCCCTAAAGCAGCCAAAACCGAGGCGGCCTTGTTGTAATGATGAGGGTGATGGGGATGAAGCTCTCGGAGAAGCCCCCGGGGTCGTGCATTTAACCTTTTTGTGCTGACACCCTGTTGACTTCTCTCCCTCCGAGCACAGCAGGAGCTGCCGGCCCGTGCCAACGGCTCGGTGCCCACCACCCCGGCGCTCGCCCGCGACGCGCTGCACACCAAGATGGAGCAGCTGGAGGAGCAGCTCCTCTCCAAGATCCTGACCCTGCAGAAGGAGCGGCAGGCCGCCAACAGTGACCGCAGCCAGCAGCAGCACGACATCGAGAAGGAGCTCAACTCCCTGCAGAGCCGGGTGGCCGAGCTGGAGCATGGTGAGTCCTGCCCCATGAGGAACCAGGCGGCGTGGGGTGATGCCAACCCCAAGGTGCACCTCCAGGGGAGCCCTGGGATGGGTGTCCCCACCCCAAGAGCAGCTCCTGACCCTCCTCTTCTCCTCCTTATCCTTGCCATGTAGGATCTCCAGGCTACAGCCCTCCTGATGCCTTCAAGGTGACCATCCCAGTGCAGAACAACTACATGTACGCCCGCATGAAGAAGAGCCTGCCGGAGCTCTACGCCTTCACCATCTGCATGTGGCTGAAGTCCAAGGCCCTGGCGGGGCTCGGCACCCCTTTCTCTTACTCCGTCCCCAGCCAAGCTAACGAGATCGTGCTGCTGGAGTGGGGCACCAACCCACTGGAGCTGCTCATCAATGACAAGGTCAGCCCAGATGGAGCGGGACGGGAGGGAAGCGCCTTCCCTCGTCCCCTTCCCTCCATCTCTTGGTGCTCCCAAGGGTCCCATGGGCATCACCAGGTCTGGTCCCCATTCCTTGTGCTTGCACCACCTTGGCCTGGAGGAATGCAGAGCTGGGATCGGCATGGGGGACCATGAGGAGGAAGAGATGGGAGGAAGGGTTGTGGAGGAGGAGGATGGGGAGGACGGCTCTACGGGGTGGGTTTTCGGGGGGAGAAGCAGCAGATCTGGATGCCTGCAGGATTTGGGGTGCTGCCCAAGGAGGGATGGGGAGCCTGGGGGATCCAGGGGTCCACCAGCAGCCCCGCCGAGTGCCGAGCTCTCGCTTTCCACCCAAAGGTCGCCCAGCTGCCGCTGAGCCTGAAGGACAAGGCCTGGCACCACATCTGTGTGGCGTGGACCACCCGGGACGGCAAGTGGTCGGCGTACCAGGACGGCGAGCAGCGGGGCGCCGGCGAGAACCTGGCCTCGTGGCACGCCATCAAGCCCCAGGGCGTCATCATCCTGGGCCAGGAGCAGGTACCCTCCGGCCCGTGGTGCACGGGGCTTTGGTTAATAGGGTCGGGGGGTGCTTCTCCGCTGGCTAACCTGACCTCCATCCCCTTCCCCATCCCCAGGACACGCTGGGCGGCCGCTTTGATGCCACGCAGGCCTTCGTGGGGGAGCTGGCGCAGTTCGGCGTGTGGGACCACATGCTGGCCCCGGCGGAGATCCTGGCCTTGGCCAACTGCACCTCCCGCCTGCAGGGCAACGTCATCCAGTGGGACGACCAGGCCGTGGAGGTCTTCGGGGGGGCCACCAAGGCCGCCTTCACCGCCTGTGAGGAGGGGAGGAAGGCGTGAGCAGCCCGCGGACAGCAGGAAAAGCCCCTTTGTCCCCTCCCCGACCAGCGGGCCCCGCCACCACCTCCACCACCACAACGGGGCCGTGCTCCGTGCCCCCATGGCAGCATCCCGGGGGGGCTCCTTGGCACGGCTCACCCCCCCCCGGCATGCTGTCCCCTCCCCACCTTGCCCTCTTTCTGGGCCGTGCCATACGCTGGCTGTTGTGTCTATGGGGCCTGGGGGAGCTGGGAGCGGGGCACCCCCCTTCACCTGTTTATTTTTATCGCCCCGATATTTGGGTTTGTGAGCCCGGCCTCCCACGGGGCCCCGAGATGTTTGCTGGGAGCCATCAGCATCCTCCCCTCTTCCCCTTCAGCTCTGCTCTGGTCAAGTGTGCCAGGCCCCGTAGGCCCCCCATGGGTGAAAGGAGCCCTGTGGGGGTCTATTTATTTTATTTATTTATCTATCTATTTATTTATTTATTTATCTATTTATTTATTTTTAAGCATTCCCCATGCCGAGGCCCCAGTGCCCACGCAGAGGGCAGGGGAAGAGGGGCAGAGCCTCGTCCCCGTGCACCCGATCCTATTTGGGGTGCAAAAGGGAACGGAGCACAAGCAAGGAAAATGGACATGGGGACAGTATTCCCTGCCATCTCCCCTCTTCCCCCCAGCATTTTGGGCACTGAGCTGCTCGCAGGGGGGGTGCTGGCCTCAGCTGTGCCTCGGTCCCCTGTTTTGAGCTGGTTGGGGACGGGGACACGGGTGGCATGGGGCTGGGGCGAAGGGAGCCGCTGGCTTTGGGGCCGGGAGGGGGTTTTCCCCCGTGGGGTGCCTGCGGGTGCGATGTTTCCACGCGTGTGGTCATCGGTGTCTTGATGTGTGCGTGCGTGTGTGTGTGTGCCAGGGGGTGGGGGGTATTTTGGGGGGGGTTTCATGGTCGCTCGTGTGATGTCCAGCTTCCAGTGCTCCCCCAACCCCATAAAAAAGTCCCACTTTGCACCTTCGGCACCAGCTGCCCCCCCTGCTGCGGCTCGGGGACAAGGGGGGCAGAGGGGCCAGCCCGCCGGGGAGGGGGGGACGCGGTGGGGACACAGCGCAGCCCCTGTGCCAAGTGGGAAACACTGTGATCTTGGTGTCCCCCCCCGCCTTGCTCGCTCGCTTGCGCGTGGCCGTGTCGTGTCGGGACGTTTCCTTTTGTAACGCTGGCTGTGGACAATAAACGTGGTGTTTCTGTCGGAGCCTCCTGTGGGGTGCTGTGGGGGGGGAGGCGGGCTGCAAACCCGAGCCCTGTGCTGCTTGCGGTCGAAAAAGAAGGGAAAATCCCCCAGGAAAAATCCCCCCCGTCCTCCAGGATGCTGGATGTCCACCAGGAGGGAGATGGAAAACCCCTACCAAAAGGTCACCGGCACCAAAACTCACCTGAAGCTACGTCCCCACAACCTTGGGGACACTTCAGCAGCATGGGGGGCACGGGAAGGCTGGCTCTAATTTGCCCAGGCATTTTAAAGGCTTACGGCAAACTCTTCCCTATAAGGCTCTTAAGGAAACGAAGTCATTATGGAGAGATTAGAAACTGGTTGAGAGACGGGAATCAAGAGCAGGAATAAATATTTGATTTCCCTCCTGGGAGAGGCGAGCCCCAGCCCTGCCGCTTTGCGGCTGCGTGTTCCACATCTGGGTGGAAAAAAAGAGCAGGAAGGTACAATTTTTGGTTGTCTGAGCCCTGCGAGAACCAAAAACCTGCTCCAGGGCTTAAAAGGCTGGTTGGTTGGAGGAGACGGTAGGAGGTAACAAATCGATGGCGCTGCTGGCTGGAAGGAGTAATTGCAGTGACTTACAGATATCGGCAGCTTCTAAATTAAACATAACCACTCAGGAAAAGACCCGAGCCTCTCTAAGGACAGCAGCCTGTTGAAAAACAACGCTTTGTGCACCGAGGCAGGGGAAAATAAAATCGTTCTTGGGAGGGTTAAAGGAGGAGACGTTCAACAGCTGTGCTGAGAGCGTGCTGTGGCCATGAGATGTGCCTTGGGCACTGCGCAGTGTCTGGATACCTCTTCCCAAAAGAGACGGGGAAAAAAAAAAATATATATATATAAATAAATAAAAGAGAAATTAAAGATGTAGAAGGAGCAGAGGTGCTTTGCTAAACTGTGACGCTCACTGCCGCGGGGTTTCCAGCAGACCAAGAGCTTAGCCAGCCTCAAAACAAGCCTCCCCCCAAAGGACTTCGCTGTGCAGAGAACGAGATCACCAGGGCAAACACGGTGGCTGGAAACCCTCCCACCTGAGGGCTGAACCTATTAATTATGAGGTTTGAGAAGAAAACGCTGAAATTTCCACACTGGGGGTTGGGATACCTCAACTGGGGCTCACGGGTTGTGTCCCTCCGTGCCACGCCAACCTCCATCCCCTTTGGACCCAGCCAAGGTGGGTTGCACGTGTCCCCAGCAGGTGACGGAACAAAAAGCCCTACAACCTGCCCTGTCCTAGCGATGGGAGGCTGCCTTAATTGCTTCCCTGTGCTTCTGCGTCCTGCAGGGAGCCTGCTCCACTCGCTCCTACGGGCAGGAAGCTCAATGGGGCTCGTGCAGTGCTCCAGCAGGTCGCTGCTGCTGCCGTGACTTCATTTACAGGTGGGCACCCGGCCACGCCGTGTGGAAAATACCCCCCATACACCTGCCTCGTCAGCCCAAGACGGCGTTGAGTGGCTTTGATCCTGCAAAGGCACAGCCCACGGCAGCCCTGCTCCCCGTGGCTCGGACACGAAGCTGCCCACGTTTTCCTAAGCCAGCAGAGATGGGAAGGGGCCCACCTGATGCTCTCCCCATATCCCTGCATCACAACCACGAGGAGCACGGAGCTCCTCACCTCAGCCCCTCTGCAGCTTGGGTTCGGCTTTTTGTGTCAGCTTTAACCTGCTGCTGAATTATCCCTACGAACAGCGTCTACATTTCCCTCGGGAAGCATTCCCCGCGGACCCACATGGATCAAACCCAAAGCATGTTTAATTGAAGGCAGAATCGCAGGCGCTCTCACGCGCAGCCGCTGACGGACACACACACGCACGCAAACGGCGGCTCTCGCCGACTTGCTGCTTCGTAGCAAAAGTGGGTGAACTACACAGGGATTAAAGCATTAAAAAAAAAAAGAGAAAAACACAGAAAGAATACGGTGCTTGAAAGCACTGTATCCCTGGAGAGATTAGAGTAGCTGCCTGGAGATAAAGTAATGATGGAAAGATCTTCTTCCTCGCAGAGATTCTGCTCCTAATTATCTCCTTTCAAAAAAAAAAGGAAGAAAAAGAGAGAGAAAAAGGATGATCTCCCAGCTTTTATCTCTCTCTTGACAATTTTAGTGCTGTGCCTGCCTCGTTGCGAGAGGCCAGTAGAAAAGGGGAAGGAGACAGAACCGGCACCAACCACACAAGCGGGACTGCGGCGGTGAAAGCAAAGGGGACGGGAGGCAGCGTTTGCTTCCTGACAGCGGCAGCGGGGAAGGCAGACGGGAAGACAAACGATCACTGCAGCACTGTCCTCCCAGCACCGGCCGCTGCTGCTTTTCCAGGAAAACAGCCCCAGGCTCTGCTCAGATTCGTGGGGACACGGGTGAGCAGGGCAGCCGGACACCCTACAGCTGTAGGGGCGAGCCTGGAGATTGGGGTGCGGGGAGAGGAGAGCACCCAGCTCCTTCCTCGTCTGCTTTTTTCCATCTTAGAGAAAATCAGTCACTTTTTTTGGCAGATGGGGGTGAGGACATTTCAAACACACACCAGCCACGAGTCTGCCTGAACGTGAGCAGCCCCCATGAGCAGAAGGCGCCCTGATGGGAACCCAGGCATCGCACCCAGCAGCCCAGGACTACCAGCCTTTCCCCCGATGCTATCCAGAAGCTTGATTCTCCTCCACTCATTAATTTCAGACTAATTAGCCTGTGTTAATTTCCAACTAACAGCACCGCGGACCCCCAAGGTCTGCTTGCAGGACCTGAGCCCACCTCACCCCCAGCGCCATCTTCTCCCTCCCTCCCAGCAGCAGCAAGGCAAGGACACAGCAGGCTGTGTCTCCACACCCGCATTCATCGCTGCTAATTAAAACACAAGGCACTTATTTATTTATATACACAATTAGCTAATTAACACAAAAGACACTAATTTACACAAATATCTTTATTTTGAGCTCAGAACCGCTCCCTGCGGGGGCTTTAGGCCAACAAGACGTTGTCCCCTCCAGGCTCAGAGCCCGGCCCTCGCAGCCCACGAGGAGGCCTTAATGAGGGGGCCCTAATGAGCCTGCCCCAATTAACCCCCCCCCACCCCACCTCAGCACCCCGCGCCCACCCCTCAGCCAATAGGACGAGGCGGCCCCGCGTTCTCAGCCAATGAGCGGCGAGGAGGCGGGACTTCCGGCTGCGGTTGCTAAGACAGCCGGGGCACTTCCTTAGCAACCGCCGCGGGCCGCGCAGGTGAGGCCGCGACCGGGCCCAGGCCGCGCTCCCCCCCCGGCCCCTTCCCCGCCTCGGCCCCCATCTCCCGGGGCTGCGGGGCCTCGCTCTGTCCCCTTTCGGTGTCCCCAGGCTCGCCTCGGTGCGGGGAGCGGTGCAGGCCGCCGTGGGGGGGGTGTGGGGGGGGTTCGCTCCCTTCTTGCCCGGTGAAAGGGCTCTGAGGGGGCCCTGCGGTGCTGTGCCCGGGTAGGGGTCGGCTGCTGAGCGGGCACGCAGCAGTGACCCGTTATTTTACAATATCCAGCCCCCCAGCTTGGCAAACACTCGTGGAGCACCTGAATAACTGCCCCAAAACTTATCAGGGCATTTCTATATGCTGACACGCTGCTCTCCTTCCCAAATTTCACTTACACCCTGCTCATGGTGTGGTTCCAAGCCCTTGCAGGCAGTAGTGTCCCCTTGGCGTTAAGCGGCAGCCACGAGGGCTGAGGGACTCATCGCTCGCTGGGAGCAGTGCCCCGGCTTGGCTCGTCCCTCGCGCTCTGTTGGTGCTTCTGGGAAGTGCCCTGCTGCTGAGGCCTCGTTTATGGAAAGTGTTACGTTTTAAATGATTGTATTAATGCGCTGCGAGAAGGCTCTAAGTGCACAGCGTGTGGAAAGGTGCTGAAATACATTAAGTTACTGTGAAGGCAGGAGCTGCGTTCTCATAATGGTTTCATTAGCGTTGTCATTCAGAGCTCTCTTCCTGTCTTTTGTTTTTAAGCAGTGTCCTCTGGGCTCAGTTTTCCCCGCTGCTGGTCCACCCGTGTCCTCAGAGCTGCGTTCTTCCAGGTTGCCTGCGCTGCAGCACCTCGCTGAGCTCCCTCTGCCCCTTCCTGCGGTCCCGTGGGGAAGGACCATGGCCGACACTGGGGAGGGGAAGAAGGAGGAAGCCGATTATAAGAGACTTCACAGCTTTCCGCTGATTAGGGTAAGAAGAGGGGTGCATTGTGTGCCCACAGGTGTTGTAGATACAAAGTTCTGCCTTTGTTCTCACCAACCTTCTAGAGCAGGATTTCCAAAGCAGACTTTGGAAACTTTATCAAACGGGTTTAGCTGCTCCTTTAAGCTGTGCTTACTTATTGCTAGCCTTAATGTATGTAAAGAACGATTCTGCGTGGATAAGTTGCAAATAAGCCATCTATCATTCTCTAAAATGGTGGAAATGACAAGTTTCTGTTGCTGGTGGTGTTCTCCTGCTTGGATTAAACATCACAAGGAGCAGCTGCCTCAGCCCCAGCGATGGAATGGGCAACGTACAGGCTGCTTGCTGTTGTCTGGTGTCTAGCTTTTATCGTTCTGCTTAACTGGGCTTGCTTGCTCGTTGCAGCACACGGACATGCCGGAAGAGATGCGCGTGGAGGCCATGGAGCTGTGCGTCACGGCGTGTGAGAAGTACGCCACCAACAACGAGGTAGTGGCCAAATCCCGCTCAGGACGGCCTGCAGTCCCCGCAGCTTGGGGAATCTGCGGGATTGGGGCTGGGGCTGTAGGGCAGAGTGGAGCCAGACCCTGACAGCCTGTTGGTACAGCAACATTGCTCTGGTCCTGTTCTGAGGAAGGGCAGAAAGGCAGCTTGGCTAGATCTCAGATCTCAGATTTGGCTGCCTTTGTCAGCAGGACTTGTGATGGCACTTTGCTTTCATGCAGGAAGCAGAGATGAGTCACGTAGCGATGCTGCCTCACAGCCCTTACCTTCCTCCTGATCCTGCCTTGCCTATGACGTGCTTCCACTCTGTTCCTAAGATGTTGCTGCCCTCAGGGCTTGTTCCAGAGCTCTGTGGGGAGGGGCCCTTCCCAAAATATGGGTCTGTTCTTCAGCATTGAGCAAAACTCTTCCCCCAGAGCAGGCAGGAGACTTATTTTGGGGGTGAGCAAATGCAGGCCTTTGAACCTTTAGGTACAGTCTGCTCAGACTTCCCTCTCAGCTTTCATCCTCTTGAATGAAATTACTGAGAGCATGGAAATGTTCTAAAAACTAAACTAAAGACCATAATTTATGCATTCATCTTTCAGAAGATGAAGGAAAGCACGCCGTGCTCCCCGGGCAGGGCACAGCCTGCTTGTTGCCAAAGGGGTTTTGTGCTGGGGCAAGGCAAAGCTACAGAGCAGGAGCCTCCTTCTGTCTCCTCCTGCCCGAGACACTGCACATCGCTGCAAAATCTTCCTCTCCCCTTTTCTAGACCGAGCAGGGTGTGATCTCAGAGAAGCAAGCCTTTTGAAAGTCAGCCTAGTTTCAGTGTTTTGGTAATTAGCTTGAAGAGGGGGAAAAAAAAAAAGAAAAAGAAAAAGGACTCCTGTAAAAATAGCCGCAGCTTAGTGACCTGAATCTCCTCTCGCGCTCACTGCACCCTGGCGTAACTCTGCCACCATCTAAAAATGCCTCAGACTGTGCGAACAGGAGCTGAAGTGGCTGCTAGATGCAGTTCCTTAATTTCTCCAGGCTGCTGAGAGCACAGCGACCTGCTTTACCCCTCGGCATAGCCCTGGGGTGCTTCCAGTCCCCTCCCTGCAGCTGCTCTACCTGTTCCCTGTGGTTTGAGAGCTCTCTTAAAGAGGAGGGGAAGCGCAGAAACTCACTGCTTGCTCTGCCTCACCCCCTGCTCTCCTTCTTCATGTCCCTCAGAGCGCTGCCAAGATGATCAAAGAGATGATGGACAAGAAGTTCGGCTCCTCCTGGCACGTGGTGATCGGGGAAGGCTTCGGCTTCGAGATCACGCACGAGGTGAAGAATCTGCTCTACATGTTCTTCGGCGGCAGCCTGGCGGTGTGCGTCTGGAAGTGCTCCTGACGTCCGGCCAGCTCCCAGACCCGCTGCGTACGAGAGATTTCTTCCTCCTCTTCGCAGGTTTTGTGCGACCTGGAGGTGGGGCTTGATTTTTAATAGTTCAACCGTCGAGATTTTTTGGTCATAGCGCTGTAACAGTTCCATGGGGTCCGTAAAGTCGGTGCATATTGTGTAAGCTTGCCTCCCCTTCCTCGCTCGTGGGATTTCTCACCTGCCCGTGGCGGCTGAGCCCAGCAGGTGCTGGATATAGGTAATCTCACTGACAGGCAGCAGCGCCGGGAGGGGGGGAAGCAAAAGAGAAAAGGTGCTATCGAGCCCTACATTTCCTCCTCCCACTTGTTCCACGTTGTCTCCTCTCCTCCCTGCCTTCCCCGCTCCGTATGGCGTGGCTCTGACCGCTGCCTCTCCCCCGACACCGGGGGAACGCCGCCTTCGTCCTCCTGCCTTGCAAGATGACCGCACAGAAGGGGCTGTGTCAAGGGCGTGCCTCGGGGTTGTCCGTGGAGGTGCTGGCTGCGGGGAAGCGGGCTCGTTTCAGCCTCCCCAGCTCGATTTGGGAGGACAGCTGAGCTGGCTGGGCGTAGGAGGCCGCTCTGCAAGCTGCCCCCTCCTTTCTCACCCCCCGCGCGCTCAGACAGCGTTAAAACAGGCGGCTGACGATGCCTGGGGAGTGGGTGAGAACTCTCCGTACAGCTTGAATGGCTCCCTGGCAGTTCTCGGGGGTGTTGCGAGTGCTGTGTACTTGCAGCATCTTGTTTGGAGGCTGGCAGGGGAAGGAGGCTCCATGTGAGATAGCACTTGGTCATCAGAACCCTAGCGGCGTTTTGGACTGGCATTTTTAGCCCGTTTCATCTTTTAAAGCTGTCAGTGTTGGAGGACGAACGTAATGGGATGTTACGTATGTGGCTTATTTATATAAATCTGTGGAACTGTGTTTTTTGTTTTTTTTTACAATAAAAATCTACCAAATTATCCTTTCCTGTGTTTGCTCCAAAGTAAAAATTCCAACGCGGAAGACAAAAAATAGTTCAGGAGGCGTGGAGGTAAGCGAGCAGCGCTGGAGCTGAGGCGAAGACCGGTGGCAGGTCCCTCACCCTGGTGGCTCCTAGGTACCAGAGAAACATTTTCACCCTCACTTTGAATTCCTCCCCCCAGCACAAGCCGCAGCGCTGAGGAAGGTTGCTGCTGACCCAAGTCCACCGCGATACCTTGGCACAGCAGGGCACGGTGCCAGGGTTGTGGAGCGGTCTGGAAGACTCCGAATCCTTTCAGCTTCCTCTTGGTGTGGTTGCCCCGCTCTGTCTGGCTCCAGCTGGCTGCGTTTAAATGAAAGCAGCGCTGCTGTCTGGCGCTTCCTGCAGCTGGCAGGTGGAAGAGCTGGGCTTCTGTTCCAAGGCTTTCCACCTCCCCTGCCTTTTCCGTCTGTGGATCCAGAGGGAAAGGTAAAGCCGGGTCTTCAGAACGTGCTGGAGCACGATGATACCCTCAGATAGCCCCTTTAATTGCACTTCTTTCCCGCTAATGAATAATTAACTGCTGTGTGCGGGTGTGTGGTCATGGGCATCTCTGCAGGGTCGCGCTGACCTGTGGGGAGAGGCAGCCGCTTACCTCAGCGTGTAATTTTTGGCCTCCCGTTATCTGCGTGGCCCCCAGCTGCCCGCAGCTCGTGTCTCTGTGACCTGCACCCACCACGAGTGAACGCTGGCCAGCCCCCGGCCTCCTCGAAGCGCGAGGGTAAGAGCTGGCCCACGAAAAGCGACCAGGAAGAAGCCAACCCCTCCTTTAGCTGGTCCCAATGCCTGTTGTAATGTGAAAACATCAAATTCAGCTGTGTGTGCGTCAAGGCCCCGAGCAAATATTCAGCAGGATCAGCTTTCCTGCCCGTCGCAAGTCGAATCATGCTGTGCTGGCTCCTCTGCCTTAGAGGAAAAAAAAGAGGCTTTCAGCCTCCTTTTGCTGCAGAACTGACGCTTTTGGGCATGCCTGATATCCACGGGGGAGTAAAGTTCATGGGTCGGAGGCAGCCCCTTGTTGTCCCATGTTTTCCCTCCGCCACTGATGCCTGGGAGCCTGCTGGGCCTGTTTGCTTTCCATTATAAAAGCGGAATCTCTCGCCGGAGGTTTTTACCTTAAAAAAAAATTCAACAGAAAGCTGGGGAGCTTGGGATCAGGCATCTCGCTATTGTGTTCTCCTCTCCCTGCCATTTCTTGCCCGCCATTCAAAAGCCTCGAGGCTGAGTCAGAGGGAAAAGAGATGAAAAACTCGGGGTGAGGCATCGGTGCCAGCCACAGCGCCCCTTTCTATCCGGCCAAACCCGGGAAGCCGGAGCGTGGCTGCGCGTCGTGACTTCATCCCTCCCCGCCGAGGGGAGACGGGCAACCTCGTGTGCGGCTCCTCCTCCATCCCGCAGGTGACTCGAGCCCGCTGCGAAGGGGTAAAGGAGCTGGGAAAAAAAAATATGGAGGGGAAGAGGTGCAAATTCGATCGCTTCTCCATGAGGATGTCATGGCAACACGGCGCAGCAGCCGGGCTGCCAGGCAGTCGGGCAGGCTTTGAAGCTCCCCAGCTCTTCCCCGCTGCTGCAGGCTCGCGTTTGACTCGCTGAAAAATCTTTTGGTTAATATTTAATGCCGGCATTGAAGTGCTAAGGGTGGTGAGCGCCCCACCTATGCCCCTATTCCTCTGCTTTCCCATTCGGGGCGAAATTAGGGCTGGGGAGGGGATTCATGGGCTCCCCTAGCATGGTCAGAAGGACGCCTTCAACACATAGCGGGGAGAGAAGGCCGGGGGCTCTCCGGGCTGGCTCTAGGACATCGGAGGGATGTTTCTGTCCCCCTGCCATGCTACGAGCCCAGTTTGGAGCTGCTGCTGGGGCACTGGGAGGACTGGGGGGGTCTCCCTCTCCCTTTGCTCTCCCAGAGCTGGATAAAAGAACCCGTGGCCCTGCTCCCAGAGCCAAGCCCAGCTTTGAGGCGAGCGGTTCGCACATGGTTTTGCTTTCTGTTTTTTCTTTTTTTTTTTGTGGTAAGCAATGACCTAACGATCCTGTGTTCCAGCCACAGCCCCTCCTCGGCGCCTTCTTTCCAAAAAAACGCGCACCCAGAGCGGATCCAGAAAGCTTCCTGGTGCAAGACGCCGCGTTCCCTTCCCCGAGCGAGCCATCTGCTCCCCTCCGCCCGGCTCCTTCTGCGCGCCTCGGAGCTCGCCAGCCCGGCGGGGAGCAGCTCTCCTCCCCTGCGCGCCCCGGCTGCCCTCGGCCATGCTGTTTTCTCACACGGCGGCGGCGAGGGGAAGGAAACGCGGGGCTGGTTTATCTGGGGCAGCTGGCGGTGTCAGCCGGAGGCGGTTTCCAAGCAACTGGCACACTGCGGGACACAGCAAGCCGGGGACACCGCGTTCCTGATGCCCGCGTGGGCCCGATGGGGCCGGGCAGCGCGAGCGAGAGGGTAGTGCGGGGCCGTGGCGCAGGAGGGGGGCTCCAGCCCGGCTCCCTGCCCGCTCCAGAGGCGCTCAGCGCAGCCCCGGTGCTGTACCCCTCCTGCCCAGCCCGTCCTTACACTGCCAGCCCAAATTTTCAGCGATGCTGCTCCTCAAATCCTGGTTATTTTACCCAGCTGCTGGTTTTTTTTTTTTTTGAAAGGTTGCACTCAAACATCCGTGGATGGATGGGGAGGGGGGAAAGTTGCCCAGCCTGAGCAGCGGGAGCAAAACTGATTTTTATGAGCGTGGACGTAAATAGTAGGAACCTCACAGATGGAATGAAGGGGCAGAAGCAAGGTTAGCTGGGCAGGTGGGAGCCCAGACGGGTGGGATGTGCAGGCGACCTGTTTTTGTTTTTTTATTTTTTATTTTTTTTCCCCGTGTGTGATTTATCTGTGGCCATCTCTGTCCCCGAGCCACCTGCAGCTATCGATTTGGAACTTGCCCCGTTCACGCTAACCTTGGCACCGGCAGCTCGTCCCTTATCAGCGCCGATAAACCCCGCTGCAGCCTCCTAGCCCCCAGCCTGTCCCCCCGGCCGCGTCACCCCACCGGGCTCTTCCCGTGACTCTGCGCCAGCTGCTTTTTGCTGCGATGCTCTAGACCCAGGACCCCAAATCTCTAATTTCTGCTTGGGGTCGAGACGGGGCCGTGGATGCTCTGAGTCCCTGCTCACCCCGCGTGGGTGCCCAGGCCCGGCAGGATGCGGTGCCGCCTGCAGACGCTCGTCCAAAGGAAATTTAAAATCCTCCTCCTCTTCCTCCTGCTCTCGGCCCTCCTGCTGCACCTGGCGATGGATTTAGCTCTCCCCACGGCTCGCAGGCTCTGGAGCTCTGGTGGGAAAGCACCGAAAGGTTCGGGTGCCATGGCGGGCAGCCCCTTGCTGGCCGGCCCCAAAAAGCTGAGCCTGCGGATCCTCCAGGACTTCAGCGGCAGCAACGGCTCCGTGGAGAGAAGCTCCCACCCGCAGGGAGCAGGGCCAAAAATAAAGGACCCAGGGGTCCAGCAGCAGCGTGGGGACGTGAATCGGGCACGGACCAAGGGGTCCAAGCTGGCTGCGCTGTTTGAGCATCCCCTCTACAACATCCCGCTGCCGGAGGTGACGGACAAGGACAAGCTGTTCGTCGTCAACCCCATGGAGAAGTTCAGCCTGCAAAGCAGCGGGAGCGACGAATGGTGAGGAGCGGGATGGGTTTTTTTGGGGGATACCTGGCAGTGTTTGAGGTGGGGACCAAACAGGTCGTTTCCCTGGTGAAGCAGCATCCCACCCCGCACAGCCCCAGCGCCGAGCAAGCTGCTCCTGTGCCTCGGCTCCTGTCTCAGCCCCGAGTTTCCAGGCTGCTACCCCGGGGAGCTGCAGGGAGCCTGCCCGCCCGTGTAGCACACGGCGAAGTCAAAGGAGAGGCTTGAATTATTCATAGTATTATGTAGAATATCTTCTGGGTCATCTCCTCACCTCCTTGCCTTCCCCAGCGCGCAGACTTTGGCCTGTCCCTGTACCCGAGGAACTCCCCGCTCCACATTTCCAGCTGGTTTTATCCCCCCCCTCTCACCTGCCCGATGCTGGAAACGCAAAATCCCCAAATGTAGGTTAGCTGTCGTCACGAGACCGCAGCCACCCTGCGTTTCACAGGGTGCTCGCTGACCTCCTTCAGCTCCGCCGTGCGGTGATCTCACCGCTGCCGGGCGCCTATTTTTGGCCCCGCGCCACTAACCCCCTAATTAGGTGGGAAGATATTAAAAGAGTCACCGTCAGCAGGACGTAGCACACCTTCCAAAGGCGGTGGCTGCTGGAAATGAGGGAGAACAGGGGCTGGTCTGAGAGCTGTTGTCCACAACCCGCTGTTTGCTCCATCCCTGAGGACCCACCACCTCGCCCACCGCTACTGGTGGGAGGTGGGCCTGGCTTGTTTTGCCTCCAGCCTGCATTTTCCCAGAGAGACGCGTGGATTTGGGTCCCCAGGGAAGGTGCTAAAGTCCCGACTAAACGCTGTCCTTGTTGTTGGGGTGGTGGTGGCTGTCGGGCTGCAGGGTCAGCAGCAGTAAAGCCGAGGCGATCCTCCCGACAGGGAAGACGGCCTACGACACCTACCCCGCCTGGCTCAAATTCCACGTCGGCATCAACCGCTACGAGCTGTACCCCCGCCGGGACCCCCTGTTGCCCACCCTCCTCCACGACCTGGCCACCATGAGGATCGTCAGCTCGGGTACCCTACCCCTACCCGCGCCCCTGTCCCTCCACCCCATGCCTGCTGTCCCCCCTCACCCTGGTGTGCCCCCTTCCAGTGCAGAAGTCCGGTGGCACCCAGCTGAAGCTCATCATGACCTTCCCGAATTACGGCCAGGCCCTCTTCAAGCCCATGAAGTGAGTAGAGCCGTGCTCCGGGCCCCAAAACTGGGTGGCCCCCTTCTCCTCGCCTTCCCCGGCGCAGCCGGCGGCGGGCTGGGCGCAGCTCGTGATGGGGTAGTGACCTCCAGTGGTGGGAAGGAGAAGAAGATGGTCCATGAGGACCATTTTCCAGCCCGTGTCCCGGTGGGATTTGGGGCCTCAGCACCCAGCAGGACACATCTGGAAGAAGAAGTTCTTCCTGGCCACGTCTGTGGTGGCACCGGGGACGCTCTAATGGGGCCAAGCAGGAGGTGACCCCATCCTTGGCCATCACCCCCAATCCTACCCGCTCCTCGCAGGCAGAGCCGGGACCAGGAGACCCCCATGGACTTCTTCTACTTCTCAGACTTTGAGCGGCACAACGCGGAGATCGCAGCCTTTCACCTGGACAGGTGGGTCTTTGTGCTGCTCTGTGCCCAAAAAATGGTGTCTGCATGGGTTTTGGGTTGAGAAACCTGGCCTTAGAGGTTCCTTCGGGGGTCTGCAACCTCCAAGCACACTTGGGATCCAACTGTGGGAGCAGCTCCTTGAGCCATGTCCTCACCCCTGTGTCATATGTGGTGAGGGACACCTGTACCTCTTGGAGTAACTCGGTGTGAGAAAACAGGCTCAGTCAACAAGAAATTGCGCCGAGTCCTGCATTTTTAGGATCCTGGATTTCCGGCGAATCCCTCCGGTTTCTGGCCGCCTGGTGAACATAACGAAGGAGATCCGGGACATCACAACCGACAAGAAGCTGGCCAAGACTTTCTTCATCTCCCCAGGTGAGCCCCGTCCTCGGGGCTTTGCGCACGTCGGGTCCGCGTCTGGCCCCGCTCCCCGTCACCCTTTGCTTTGTCCCCCACGCCAGCGGGCAACGTCTGCTTCTACGGGGAGTGCTCCTACTACTGCTCCACCGAGCACGCGCTGTGTGGCAAACCCGACCAGCTGGAGGGCTCCGTGGCCGCCCTGCTGCCCGACAAAACCCTGGCCAAACGCCGCTCCTGGCGCAGCCCCTGGCGCCGCTCCTACCACAAGAGCAAGAAGGCCGAGTGAGCCGGGACGGGGACACGCGTGGGGGATCTGTGGGGTGTGGGATGGGGAAGGGGCTGCTTGGGTTGCCCCGTGGTGGTCGTCACGGCCCCGTCACCCGTGCGCTGCCCGCAGGTGGGAGCTGAACCCCAACTACTGCGCCCAGGTGCGCCAGACGCCGCCCTACGACAGGGGCCATCGCCTGCTGGACCTCATCGACATGACGGTGCTCGACTTCCTCATGGGTGAGCCGCTCCCCGCGGGGGCACGAGGGGAAAACCCCCCGTCACGGCCTGCTCATCGCCAGCTGGGTGGGCAGTGCCCCGTGCAAGCCGCTTCCTCCCACTTTTCCCCCTCAATTTTCCAGCAGCTGATGGGAAGGCCGTGGTCAGACTGGCTTAGCACAATGAGGGTGCTCTCCCTCCCTGTTCCCTTATCCCAAATTTGGGACCAGAGAACCGATGTGTGCGTGGGTGAGGCTGCTCGGCCCATCCCAGCACCCAACTCCCGTCCCCGAGGACCCCACGTGAATCCCTCTCCTCACCCCTTCCCCTCCCTGCTGCAGGCAACATGGACCGGCACCACTACGAGACCTTCGAGAAATTCGGGAACGACACCTTCCTGCTTCACCTGGACAACGGCCGCGGGTAAAGGCGGGGAGGGGGACCGGCCACCCCAAAGGAGGGGACACAGCAGGGGCAGAGGGATGCTGAGGGTTTTAGATGATTGCGGCCCAAAACATCAGCCACTGTTGGGGTGTTTTGGGGCACACTGGGGTGTTTTAGGGCACACTGGGGTGTTTTGGGGCACACTGTGCATGCCCCGATGCCATCCCAATGGGTTTCTCCCCCAGCTTTGGCAAGCACTCGCACGACGAGATGTCCATCCTGGCCCCGCTCCAGCAGTGCTGCAGGTGAGCCGCCCCCACCACCTTTCCTTTTGGGGGAAAAAAAAAACCCTTCCTGACACCGAGCCCTCTTTCCTCAGCATCAAGAAGTCGACCTACCTGCGGCTGCAGCTGCTGGCCACCCGGCCCTACCTCCTGAGCGAGCTGCTGCGGGAGGCGCTGGCCGCCGACCCCCTGGCCCCCATCCTGACCGAACCCCACCTGCGGGCGCTGGACCGGCGCCTGGGCAAGGTGCTGGCGGCCGTGGGACGCTGCCTGGCCCGGGCAGCCTGGCCCGGGGAGGTGCTGGTGGATGATGTGGGGCCGTGGGTGTGATATGGGGTCGGACGGATGGGGTTCAGCACCCCGCGGGCGCAGGGAGTGTGGCGTTGGGGTTTGGCGGCCCCGTACACCATATAGTGGATGGGGGCGTTTGGGGTGATGCGGTGGGGCAGACCGGGAGGATCGCAGGGACGGGTGGCTTATTTAAATAAAAAGGTTGGCCTAGTGGAGAAAACATTTGGGATCCTGGCCACCGGGGCTGTTTTTCCAGTCCTGGACTACCTCTGCGTGCCGGGACGCGTCGGACGGGCCCTGCAAACCCTTTTAGGAAGAGCGGGGATTTTTTCCAGCCTTTCCCCAGCCTGCGGCAAGCTCCTCCAGAGCTCCCCGTTTCAATGGGGCCGTCTGCGAGCCCCGTGGCACAGCGCCGGCCTCCCCCAGCGGGGTCCCTGCGTGCTGGCGTGGGGAAACCGAGGCACGGGCTCCCCAAATCCCTGCCTCTTCCCGGAGCCGCCCGCCTCTTCCCACTCGCCTCGACTTACCCAACTCGCGCCGCTCTGCCCCCGGATTTCCCACACCCACCCGAAAATCCCCGTGGCGGCCCCAACGTCGCCCAAAGAGGTGGTTCCGGCAGGGGACAGCTTCACCCCGGGGCCCGGCACCCTATTTAGCGTCCGGCTTATCCCCTAAGCCTCGCTGGGGGGTTAATCTGGGGGTATTTGCGTCAGCTGGAGGCAGGTGCTATGGGATGGGGGCGTTGGTGGTGGCGGGGAGCTGTCCCCAGGGGCAGCGGGCAGGGGGTGGCGAGGGGGACACGGGGATACGGGGTATGGGGTGGGGATATATGGCCATGGGTGGGGGAGCCAGGGGAAGGGGGGAAAAATAGGGGGAGGCTGGGAAATGGTGTGGGATTAGGGATGGAGGGAGAAATGGGATGGAAAGAGGAAAAGAAAAAAAAAAAATTAAAAAAAAAGAAAAAAAAGAAAAAGAAAAAAAAAAGAAAAAAAAAAGGAAAAATAAAGGAAAAAAGGGGAAAAATATTTTTTTTAAAAAAAAGGACAAAGGGTTGCTGTGCTCGTTACACAACGGGCCCGTGGGACTTTTGCCCCCCCCCTCCTTGTTTTTTTTTTTTTTTTGGGGGGGCCGCGGGTGCGCGCGCGCCGTGCACGGGGCGGGGCGGGGGAGGAGGAGCTGGGGGGGGCGGGAGGGGGGGGGGGGGAGCGGCTGCAAAACAAAAGGGAGCGGCGAGGAGGCGGTGGCAGGGCCGGGGGGGGGCCGCTGCGCTGCTGCTTCTGGGCTCAGCCCCTGGCACCCGGTGGGTTTGGGGCCGGGGAGGGGGGCGTTTTGGGGAGGGGGGGGGTGCCCGGTGGGGTGGGGTTGGGGTGGAGAGGGGGGGTTGGGTGGATGGGGGGGGGGGTTTAGGGGGTGTTGTGGCAATGGGGGTGGCGTGAGGAGGTGCAATTTTGGGGGGGGAGGTGGGTGGGGAGGGGGCGAGGAGGCCCCCCCATAAAGGGTTGGTCCCATCCCTGCTGCGTCCTGGGCACTGCATGACCTGGGGTGTCCCCTAAATGTGTCCATCCCCTAAATGTGGGTGTCCCCCCCGCACACCCAGGCTGACCCTAACCCCTCTGCGTGCCCCCGTCCCCCCAGGTGAGCCGTGTCCCCCCCACGCCATGTCGCGCCGCAGCCAGCGCCTCGTCACCTCGCGCTACTACCCGGGGGACGAGGATGCCGCCAGCAGCAGCTCCCTGCTGGGGGGCCACCAGACGCCCTTCAAGGAGACCACCGGCAGGTATGGGGCGGACAGACAGACAGACTGGATGGATGGACAGGGGGGGTGCTGGGGCTCTCCTGCACCCCGCATGCCCTGCTCCCAGCAGCCTCGGGCTGGCTGGCGGGAGGGGAAGCGCGCTGCGAGCGCGCCGCGCCGGAAAACCGCAGCGGTGCGAGCGGAAACGGGGCCGGGGGCTCCCCACCTAGGGGCTGGTGGCAGCGGGTTTCGCAAGCAGAGGTTGCGCTGTCCCCCCCCCCCCCCGGCCGTGTATCCGCTGCTGTATGGTGCCCACGAGCCCGTTCTTACCCCCTCCCAGCAGGACGGTGCGGAGGAAATCGAGCAGCACCAAGCGGCTGTCCCCAGCCCCGAGCACCCAGACCTCTTACTACAGCGAGTCCATGATGAGCGAGTCCTACCTGGGGGGCAGCCGGGGGCTGGCCGCCCTGGGCACCTCCGGGCTGGACGATCCCCTGGACAGGAGCATTTATTGGGGTGAGCCCGTCCTCAGTCACCAACCAAGGTGTTGGGGTGCCCCAAGCTGGTTTTTGGGGTGGCTGGATTCTTTGGGGGGCTCCGTGGGGTTGATTTTGACGTGGGGGGACGCAGGTGGGGAGTTCTCCACGAGGAGGAGAAGAGGCACGGGGGACACGGAGTCCAGTAAGATCAACGGGCTGCTGGAGAGCAAGACCTACGACACCTACGCCTCCTCGTCCGGGTACTCCTCGGAGGACGACTACGCTGGTAGGGACGCGGTGGCGGGTCCCCAGGTTGTGGCCAGCCCCCTCCTGCACCCCGACCCCCTACTCAGAGCCTTCACCCGTGGTGCCAGGCGGGTGTGTGGGTGCCACCTGATGTCTCGCTGCCTCTCCCGTCCCTCCAGGTCACTTTTACTCCGGCCAGAGCAGGCTCCGGCTCGGGGCTGAGGTCCGCAGCCTCCAGGGTGGGCTCCTTCCTCTGGCAGGTGCTGACCTCGCCGGGTGAGTGGGGTCTGGGTGCAGGGGGGGTGTTTTAGGAGGCAGCTTTCTCCCCTGCTGGCATCTCCCCTCCCCACGTGGAGCCTTGTTCTCCCCTTTAGGTGCCGCTCACGAAAATAAACCCAAGTCGCAGAAGGGACAAAGTCAGCGGTGGGGTTTGGGGAGGCCCAGGAGGGGCGGTGGTGGAGGTGAAGGATCCTCTCCTAAGCCCCATTCCTCCCTCCCCAGTCCGCTTTGTAGGGTGGCTCTTCTCCTGCGTGGGTGCTGCCTGGCACCGCCTGACGGGCCGGGCTCCCCAGCTGGCACGCGTCCCCTTATCGAGGTGAGCAGGACCCCGGGGACGGGGGAAACATGGGGAGACCCCATTCCCCTGCGAGCGGGTGCTCCACGGGGCCCCATCCCGGCGCTATGGGATCCATCCCCGATCCTTTTCCTTCAGGCGCTACCCACGGCTGAAGAAGTCCCTGCTGCTGCTGCTGCTCCTCCTGCTCCTCGCGGCGGCCGCCTACGGTGAGGAGGCCCTACAGGCCCTTTATCCCCTGCCTCGAGGGCTGGGGCAGTGCCGTGGTGGTGTGGGGTGGAGATACGGGGCTGGAGAGACATCGTGCTCCTCCTGGACCTTGGTTTGGGGGTGACGGGGATGGGACGGAGCCGGCTCAGTGTGGCACACCCGCTCTGTCCCCGTTGCCATCCCTTTGTTGAAACATTTCATAATCCCACATCCCCAGGAGCTTGGTACTTCTACCCCTACGGCCTGTCGACGCACAGCTTCCCCGCCTTCCCCTGGTGGGGGGCTGGACGCCTTTCCTCCTCCTCCTCCCCCTCCTTTGGGGAACGGGACGTCACCGCTCTGGACCAGGTAAACCACCCAAAGGAGGAGGCACTTGGTGGGAACGGCCCCAAAATTTCCCAAAGGAGCTTCCCTGCTGTCCCGGCAAGCAGCAAGGGGCCGGGACGCTGCACGGGGGGGCTGCATGGCGCCTTGCCTTCCCCACCACAGGGGCTGCGGGGGGAGCAGCGGCTCCTGGCCCGCTTCCAGGCCCTGGAGAAGCGTTTCGAGGCGCTGGAGGCCGAGGTGTCGAGGTGGGAGCTGCGACGAGGAGCGGCGGCGGCGGGGAGCGAGCCGCCCCCGGGGGACATCCTGGGGCTGCTGGAGGGGCTGCTGAGCCGCCGCGAGGCGGGGATGAAGGAGCAGCTCCGCGGGGACGTAGCCGGGCAGCTCCAGGTGAGGGGTGTGAGGTGGATAAAGGGGGTGTGGGGGTGCACGGGGATGGGCTCTGATGTCCCCTCCTTGTCCTCGCCCCGCAGGGGGAGCTGGACGCCCTGCGAGCCCAGGTGCAGAGGGACGTGGACGGGCGGCTGGAGAGGATGGCGCGCGCCTCGCAGGTGAGGGGACGGACACCCGGCGCTGCCTGCGGTGAGCTCGCTGCCATCACCACGGATCTCACCCGGCCTTTTGTTCCTCCTTGTGCTGGCAGGAGATGGAGGCCCGCTTGCTGGAGCTGAATTCGGGCTGGCAGAGGTAATGGCACGGCACAGCGCAGGGCCAAAACCCCTGCTGAGGGGCTCCAAGGGAGGGATCCGGACCCATTTCGCTCTGGGGTTGGGGAAAAAGGAGGGTGAAGGTGGGGGAGGCGCCTCACGGAGCCATTTTGTGGTGTTCCCCTTCCTCGTGGCGCAGCTCGGTGCGCGAGGACCTGCGAGGAGGCTTCCAGCAGGCCCTGGGCGAGCTGGAGCAGGAGGTGGCGGGGCTGCGCAGGGAGCTGGCGGGGCTCAAGGCGGACCAGGAGGCGATGGGCAAGCACGTGGAGGGGCTGCTGGAGCAGCTCAAGGCGCTGCGGGCTGACGTGAGTCCCAAAATCCACTCCCCCCTGAACACTTTTTTTGTTTCAGCCCCCTGCGAGGGGCTGAGCTCTGCCCCCCTTGTTTCAGGTGGAGGCGCAGATGCCGGCGTGGATCGGCCAGGGTCCTGTCGCAGCCCCGGCGGGACGGCGCGGCCGCCCTCGTCCTCCAGCGGGAGGACTTGCAGGAGGAGCTGCAGGCCCTGGAGCACAAGATCCTGGCCAAAATGCAGGAGGAGCGCAGGCTGTCGGCGCGGGAGGCCTCGGCCGGCATCGGCGTGGCCCTGAGGCCAGGGGGTGCCGGGGGGGTGACGGAGGAGGTGAGCCCTGGGGACACGGCGACAGCCACGGGTTGGGGACCCTGCAAAGGGCTCACAAAGGGCTGCCTCGTTTTTCCCCCGTGCCTCGCAGCGGTGCTGAGTCACTTGGGGCAAAGTATTTTGGCGGAATGACACCAGAGGGAAAAAATGAGGCTGTTTGCTTTGGAAAGATTCGTTGGCAGCTCCCTGCCGAGGGTGGGAGCGAGCGGGTTCGGCTCCCAAAGGACGCCCTGGTGCCCTGCTGGGACCTCGAATTTGGTGGGGCCACCCTTGGGCCTGCTCCCCGTCCCCCTCCATGGGCATCAGGAAGGCCGAGCCCGGGTGCTGCCTGTTCCCTCACCCCATGCTTTTCAGCGGGGGGTATTTTTAGCAACCTCTACCGAGGCTTTGCAACCAAGCGCGTGTCCTCCCTGTTTTTGCCGCGCTGATTCATCGCCCGCCCGCTCCGTGGGAAGGGCTCTGGGCGCCGTGGAGGGGGCAGGACCCCCCCATCGCCCTGATTTCACCCCTCTGCTCCTTCCCCCCCTGCAGCAAGTGCACCTCATCGTGGACCAGGCGCTGAAGCGCTACAGCGAGGACCGCGTGGGGATGGTCGACTACGCCCTGGAGTCGGCGGGTAGGTGGCGGGGGACAGGCCAGTGGGGGGGCTGTTTTGTGGGGTGCCTGGTGCTCAGCTTACCCCTGCCCTTCCTCCCCTCGCCCTGCTAGGGGCCAGCGTGATCAACACCCGCTGCTCCGAAACCTACGAGACGAAGACGGCGCTGCTCAGCTTGTTCGGGATCCCCCTGTGGTACCAGTCGCAGTCCCCGCGGGTCATCCTGCAGGTGAGCAGCCGGGTGTCCCTGAGGGGGTTTTAGCGGGGTGTTGGTGAGAAGAAAACCCACAGGCGAGTATGGGGTAAGGCTGCTGATACCTAAAGGGCTGCCGTTCCCCTTCCCGCCCGCGTAGCCAGACGTCAACCCCGGGAACTGCTGGGCCTTCCGCGGCTCCCAGGGCTTCGCCGTCATCCGGCTCTCCAGCCCCATCCGCCCCACGGCCGTCACCCTGGAGCACATCCCCAGAGCCCTCTCGCCCCAGGGGATCATCCCCAGCGCCCCCAAGGACTTCAGCGTCTACGTGAGTAGAGCCCAGGGGGGGAGGTTGGGGAGGACGCCGCGGTGGAGGATGCTGGTGAGCCTCATGGCTCCGTCTCCTTGTCCCACCCTGGGCACGCTGCCCGCCCCCAGCTCTCCCTTTCTGCCTCCCCAATCTTTGTAGGGTTTGAAGGAGGAGCGTGATGAAGAGGGCCTCCTCCTGGGGCGCTTCACCTACGACCAGGACGGCAACCCCATCCAAACCTTCCTCCTGGAGGTGAGGCGAGGCGCTGCTGTCTGAGCACCGAACCTGCAGGAGGGAACCGGGGGGGTGGTGGTGAGGATTTGGGGTGGGGTGTGTGATCCTCAGAGCCCTCAGATTGCGGAGTGGGGCACTTTGGGGTGGCCACCCTAGAGCCTTTCTTTCACTGGGAGCTGTGAGGAGAGGAGGCTCAGGGGGACACTGGGGCCTCTCCCTGCTTGGGGGGACCTCCAAAACCCCCCCTGGGTGGCCTCGGTGTCCCCCACCTCCAGCCAGGGCGCCGCTGTGACCCCTCTCCCCTGTCCCCAAAGGGTGACGCCGTGGGCACCTTCCAGCTGGTGGAGCTGCGGGTGCTGAGCAACTGGGGCCACCCCGAGTACACCTGCATCTACCGCTTCCGCGTGCACGGGGAGCCGGCGCACTGACCCCCCCTCGGATGGAGACGTGTCGGGGTGCCGGAGGAGTCACCCCCTCCTTTTTTTCCCCCCCCACTTCGCCTTTGCCTGCGCTGCTGCTTGCGGAGGAGAGGACTTTCTGCCTGCAAAGGGGGTGAGGCGAGAGCACCCCCGCGCGGGGTCGCTTTCGGTGTATTTCGGACACTTTTTTGGTGTTTTTTTGAAGCTCGTTTTTCTGCCGGGGCCGGGCGGCCCCCCCAACCCCACAACTTTGTGGTGGCACACGCACCCTTCCCGCGGCTGGGGGCAATTCTGCAGCGGGCTTCGCGTGGGCTGGGGAGGGATGCAGCACCTCCCCTCTGTGCTTCTCGGGCTCTGAAGGACCTCCAAACCTTCGATAGCGGGCTGGCGGAGGGGAGTCATTAACAGTATTAACGAAGTATTAATATAAAAGTAGAGGCGGGAGGGGAGGAAAGCAGCAGGTGTGGGTTGCAAAGCTCCCGCTTGTTAACCTCGAGGATGCTCTTTGAAAACTGCTTCCCCAATGGGTTTGTTGTTTTTTTTTTTTTAAGGGGCTGGGGGGCTATTTTCTGGTTAGGGTGTCAGGGATTGTTGTTTTTTATAAGAAAACTTTTTCCGCACAATTTCTGCGGGACCGCTCGGGCGAGCGGCTTCCCCTCGCAGCAGGGCAAGGGGGAAGAAGCTAAAAAGAAGCTGAGCAAGGCTGGACCGCTGGGCCAGGGCCCTCCCCGGGCTGCCAGCAGCGCTCCTGGCTCCGGAGGACGCCCTCCGGCGCACGTGTGTACAGGCAGCTATTGCTGGGACCTGCTGCCCCGCAATTTCCCCTGGCCCTGGCTGCTTTTTGGGAGCCAGGGCCGCAAGGCAACCCCACCAGCCCGCAGCACGCCTGGTTTCTAACTCAGCTGACGTTCCTGGGTAGTGTTTCTAACCTCAGTGTTAGTCTTGCGTTTAGTTTTTTTTTTTTTTTTTTAAAAAAAATGTAATAAAAGCTGAAGGGCTCGTGTAGTGTTTCAGCCCTGTCGGATGCTGGCATCGTCCCCCCAGGCTCTGGGGGGGGCACTGAGAGGCAGCTTTGGTCTTTTCTGCTGCAGGGCACAGGGTGTAGAGGAGGGCAGGGGGCTTTGCTGGCCCCAGGGGACAAGGGCAATGCTGGCCCTATCTCCGACCGGTTAAAATCACCCCCCGGAGAGCTGGGAGGCCCTGCCAAATCCCCTGGGGAGAAATCCTCTCCTATATCGAGCACGGAGCCTCAGCTTTTGGCAGCCGTGGCCTGAGTTTATTTTAAGCTCGTCTGCAGCTGCCTGCTCGCCTCGGAGGCACGGCTCCTGTGAGCGCCCTGCACACGCAGCCAGGCCTGGCAGAGCGGTTCCTGTGTTTATTCTGACGAGAAACAGAGAGGGGAAGGGGAAAGCTCTGCCCTTCGCTTATGGTTATCCATCTATTGGAGGAAAGGCAGGCACGGGGCTGGAAAGCCTTTTCTTACCTCCCTTCTGGCTGCCTCGCCTGCAGCTTCTTCCCTCGGCACACGAGGGCACCTGGGCCCATTTATCCCTCCTGCCGCTGCAGCAGGTGAGGCAGGAGGAAGAAGAGGCAGCTGGCAGAGCAGACTTGCCCAATTTACTCCCTTTTCACTCCGTTTTCCTCCTTTACCCTCCCTCGTTCCGGGTTTGCCCTCCACCAGTGTTACGAATCAGCCCTGCGTAGCCAGGCTGGGTGCAGGCAGATGCTGATGAATCTGTACTTGATGCTGTAGCCTGTTGCAAATGCTGCACTGTTTTTGTCCATGTTCTTTTTTAACCAAGATTGTAATTTATGCCTATGCAAAGAAAGAAGAAGAAAAAAAGACCAAGACAAATAAATTATATGAAAACTACCAGGAGTTGTTGGGTTATTTCGCAGACCCGGGCTGTGCCACAGCTGGCACCGTGCCTGCCTTGGCTCTCCGTACCACGAAGCAGAGCTGAGCTGGGGTTGATTTGAGGTGAGTTTGGCACGAGGGCAGAGCCTGCCCAGCACTGCTGGGGCAGGAATTGCTGAGCTGGGCGCTCGTTGTGCTTCCCTGCAGCTACCCGAGCAGCAGGGAGCAGAGGCAGGCGCCCACCTCAGGGCCTCAAACTGCCCCGGGGGATAAATGGGGAACGGGACGGGGTTGAAGGGCTGGGGGTGAAGACAGGCAGAGGGCAGAGCACAGCTCCAGCAGCATCTCCAGGAGCCAGGGCTGTCTCCAAGCCACACTCACCTGTGTGCCAAAAGGGCTGTGCGGAGCAGAAGCCTTGGTGAACCTGAGATCAAGCAAAGAAAGCAGGAAAAGGCCAACACCAAGCCCCGGCGGGTCCTACAGTCCGGAGCCACAGGGAGCGTGGCTCCTGGCAAAGCCGCGAGCGGCGCTTTTCCGGAGGGACAAAAAGCGACAAGACCGAAATGAACTCGGAACAAACCTTCTTTAAAATTTATTTTATAGATCACGCCAGCCCGAGTGATCTTTGAATGCTGGTCACAAATAAGAGAGATCGCACCGCCTCCTTCGCCTGAACTGAAGCCAACCCTCTTCCAGTCTCGGCAGTCTCCTTCGGTTGGAGCACAAGGAATGGAGGAAGAGAAAACCGCCGGGGAACCCCCCCCCAGCTCCCCTGGGGAGCGGAGGGCGGTGAAATCAGATGCAGTTTGATGCCGCCACAGGGCCGGGACAGAAAGGCAAGGGGCCCTCGCGTGCCCTTGCTTAGCCACACTTCACACCCCCTCACAATGCGGGTGCTATTGGTGTCGTAGCCGCCTATGGTTCCCCCCTCTCCGGGAGAGCGCTGGTGTTTAGGCACGTAGCTTGGAAGGGACCGTCTGTCTGACCTCCCCGCTGCCACCCCTGCTCAGGCTGCCAGTCTCTAAGGCAAAGGACGCTCGGCTCCGATCCCAATCCCTCACCTCCGATGCTTTTGGAGCGCTGGTAAAACCAAATCCGCCCTGGAGAAGCTCACGCGCTCCCACCGCGTAACTCCTGTCCTCCGGGGAGCCGAGCGGAGAGGCAGGGTCAGAGGAAAAGAAATCGGAACAAACGGGGAGTTGTTCAAATCACACAGCCCGGGGTTAAAAATCATGATACTGCTAATTCATTGCGTCCACCCAGGGCCTTCCTGAAGCCAGGATTCACCACGTCAAAAAGAAAGTCAGAAAAATTACTTCCGAACCTGAAAGCACTTCTGTACGTTTGCTGCGAATTCATCGCGGCCCTCTTGGCCAAAGAGGGCAGAAGACAATCCCAATCACCTCCGTCGTGGCAAAGTTTTGGGCCAGTGACTTCTAAAAAAAAAACAACGTTTGGGAAATCCCGGAGTAAAGAAAATCAAGGGGAGGTGAGGTTTGCCTGGTGTCTCTGTTCCCGAGGTACGTTCCCACCCGTGCTCTCTGCCCGTCGAGGTGAGAAGGTTCTTTCTCTGGCTCAGGGGACGGACCGAGCGTTCCTGCACGATGTTCTTAATACTGCTGACTGAGCTGCCACAGCCTGGAGAGGCAAGTTGAGAAGTGCTCCAAAACGCACCGAACAGATGGGAAGGGGAACAGGACAGGCAAACCACACTGCCCGTTTAATTCCGGCCCTAATTAAAATCTTCACTGCTACTAACGTATTTGAGGAGGAGATTTTTTTGTATAGGATTCCTCAACCTAAGATCAAGAACTGATTTTCAAGTTGCTTCCCCCTTAGACCTCCAGCTAATGAATTTTCTTATCCTCATCTCCTTCAAAAAGTCACTACAACGTGAAATTAAACCCGCTGACAAATAGCTTTAGACGGGGGAGAAGCCAGAAATCTATCTGGCACGTGGCCGCAGCGGTGAGGAACTAACGCCATAGGGAGCCACCCTAAACAATGTTGTTTTAACCTCTGCAAGTCCGAAATTTCAGGTGTTTGACAGCCCCTGGGCCTGAGACAGGGTGTGGGAGAGAGCAGCAGGTCCTGGAGACAGAACGGGGTGAGGGAGGAGGGAGGCAGCTAACTGGCTCTTCTTGCTTCTATCTAGAGTCTCCTCTCATCTTCATGCACACAAAATATAATAAAAACTAATAAGAATAAAAACTAAGCCCATGATGTACAAAAATGTGTCGATAGGGGGGAGGAGGAAGGTGTCAGTTACTCAGTTCTGTGTCTCATCACCTTCATTAGCTTATAAGTTATGCTCCTCGCCGTCATTTCCTCTGGGGAGGAGGGAAGATTCTTCTGCAGCCGATCAGCTGGGATGGATTTTGGTTGAAGCTGCTCTGGATCTTTTGGATAAGAACTGAAGGGAAGGGGAGGAATTCCTCAGCAGCAGGAGGAGTAGGAAATTCAGCAGCCACTGGCAGGAGTCACGCAGGCTCCCTGAGACTTCACTTTATGGCGCTGACCTCCACGGCGCCGTCCTCCTCCTCCTCCAGCTTTGGACTGCAAAACAAGAAGAGGCGCCTCAGTGTGCAGAAATATCAGAAATATCACAGCCAGAGTTCAACACACACAGCCAGACCCTGGGGTGGAAGCTGTGACTGATCTGAACCCCCCTCCCAGCCTTCTCTTGCTACCGTGACCCCAAATCCAGCCGGCAAACCCACGGTTCTGTTTTCAAGCAGCCAGATACCTTATTGCCCTCACGGACGTGGGGCTCTTCATCCAGAGCAGGCTGAGGGGAAGCAGCAAGGAGAGAGAGACAAAGATAAGCAAGAGCAAAAGCAACGCAGACTCTCAGGGGAAGGGACAAAAATGAAGCTAGGAGGAGCCTTTCTTATAACCACGATGACTCCACGGCAAAGACAAGGAGGAGACGAGGGCTCAGGAAGGAACAACAAGTGTCTGTGCAGGGAAGAACCTCTGCAGGCAGCCCTCTTTCAGCAGCCAGCATGGCTCAAGAGGCTGAGACCTGACCAATGGCAACTACAACAGCTAAAAGGAAGAATGCTGACCCACTGTCTTGACACTTTCATTTTCAGGAGCTTTTTTTTTCTAGATAAGTACAGTAAAAGGAAATCCACGCGATGAAGCTGATAAATAGCTGCCCAAAGCTCGCAGTTAATGGAATTTCCGTTCCTTTCACACGAGAACAGGGGGGTGTCCTCAGACAAGCTGAGATGGGAAGTCTTAACCGACAAAACTTGGCCTCATCTGTCTAGAAGTGAAAGGCCTTTCCTTCTCCTTGGCCAACTTTCCTTCTCCTGAGGTCCAACCTGAACTGCAAACAGCTACAAGAGATGCTCTTTCCCTCACTCACCGATGGCTGCAGGGCAGTAGGTGTCGGCGGTGCCGCGGCTGTCGAGGGGGCTTCGTCCCCTGCTGGTGGGCCCCCAGCTGCCATCCCAAGCGGGGGAACACCCTCCTCTCGTTTTGTAACAGCTCCCTTCTTTGTCGACTGCATCTTGATCTGCTGGGGCTTGGAGTTCATCGGTGAGTTATTGGTGGTCTGGAGTAACTGCGTGGTTACAAAGGGAGAGGGCAAAAGCAACGGTAAAACAGCCAGGCCCATCTGGCAGGGCTCGGTGGTGCTTTTTAACAGCCTTTGGACAGCCGACACCGACATCCATCGGCAGAAGAACGCATTTAAAGCAACCCTGAGTTGCCCTCAAGAACCCCTACGGGATTTAAAGTGGCGCTGAGCTGCGGTGACACACAGCCCTCCAAAATGTGACTCAAAGGGAGCAGCTGGAAGCTATCAAAGACCAGGCATTAAGAGTCAGAGGCATCTGGGTCACCCCCTACCTTCTCCTTCCCTCATTTGCACCAGCCAAGACCCACCAGAGAGCAAAGCACGCCGGTCAGCTGCAACCCGTGGCAGGGCTGAAGGACGGGCTGCTCCCTCCATTCTCCCGCTGGTTTTTCAGTGCCAAAAGCAGCTAATGGGCAAAAATTAAAAAAAAAAAAAAGCTGGACTCTTCAGCCTTTACCTTAGTGATGGTACCCACAGCTTTGGTGCGGCCTTCCCGGAAGACCAGCCGCTGGTCTATATGCAAGTACTCCGGGGTTTTGATGAAGCGAAAGTGCACCGTGGCTTTGTCCCCCGTCCGCAGGCAGTCCTTGTCCATGCTGAGGATCGTGGCCGTCTGACGGATGCTGCCGCAATGCACTGCGGGTGGAACGCACAAAGGCTTTCAGCGGCCGGTGCCTGTTAGCAGAATGAGCTTCAGACAGACATCTAAGGCGGCTCTTGCGACTTTACAGCTAATGGTGCAGTGTTTGAAGTGTAAAAATCGACTGCATGAACCACAGACTGCATGGATCAGGCTTTGTTTGGTCCTCCAAAAGGAAATACACACAAGCTACACCAGTTACCTGCAAATGGAGACTTTTCCTGGAGTCCCCTTACCAGAATCCTACACACTAAGAGGCTGAGCTAGGTGGCAGGACCCAAAACGAGTCTCTCTGCACGGGAAGCTTAAGAATCTTTACACCGTGGAAATGTGGCTCGGGCAGGCTACAAGTACACTCAGAGCCCCAAATCTCCTTTTTACCTATTTCTCCTCACTCCTTTTCTCTGTAGAATTCCTCCCCTCTCTCTCATGGGCTGCTGGGACCATTAAAACAAGCACCACGGCTTACATTCAGCTTGACAGAGCCATCAGGAGCGAAAAGACCTTTGCCTAGAGTGGATGTAAAGTATTACTGCTGGGAAACAAAGATGAAACAACGCTGTGACACATACCCATGGCCTGGTACCGCGGGCTGATGGTGGTGGGGTGATGGAGCACCAGAATCTCTGCTTCAAACTCCCAGGACGCTTGTGGATTCAGGCGGGGTGACACCATTACCATCCCTTTCCGGATGGAAGAACGCTTGATCTGAAAAGCAGTGACACAGAAAAACTTTAGCGCGATCCTCCAGGGAAGAAATTCTGCTTCTCTGGCTGACTGCATCCAGCA